AAAATCTATCCATACTGAAGTTATCTTGAAACCGAGGACACTATTGAAGATAAAAGCCAAACATAAGATCAATTTTAGAAAACATCATTAAGTTCATCAAATTTAGTTCCATAAACTAACAAACAGAAAGAATAGAATTTGAAAGCAGAACTTGTACTTGTATCAAGCCATTTAGGAGTGTAAAAGGGTTATGAAGAATGCTCTGTCCTTAGAAGAGAATTTTAAAAAAAAAAACATCCGAATTAGGAGTGTGTAGAGTGGAAAAAAATCCTAATACTAACAATTTAACTCCAGCCAATTAGTTCAAACATACAAAATCCTTTTACTTGGCTTACTCCAATGTTTAGTTTGTTTAAATTGATAAAAATTTGAGTTTCAGTCTGAATCGTGATAGTTGAGAACAATATTTTAACTTTAAGGAATTGATATAGAAAACAATAAAATCACTTTCACATTAATCCATTACTGATCTTTGAAACTTGTTTTGAAGTTTGCTTCAAAAGACCATCACAACTGCATATAAAACAGAGAACGTACAACACAACATGGAACACTTGAGAAACGTACTCTTTTAAGGATGTTAAAGGCTGTACATTTCCAGAAAACCGATAAAGTTCCAACTATTTGGAACACAGAAAACAATGTGGATCGAGCTACGGCAAAAATGTTGAAGAAAAAAACCCATTTTGTCAATAGTTAAAAACAGCATTAAATTCATGAAATATGCTCATAATGGACTAGTAGTGAATACCCATCGAGCTAGGAAACATCTGTTAAAAATGAATGCATGGCTTTTTTGGTTCTTTTACTGTTTTATCTAGTCATTAATAGTCTTACTGTGTAAGACTAAGTCTTTGTTTCTGTTTGTTCAATTATCAGTCTTATTGTGTAAGACTTGGTCGATGGTTTCTGTTCCAATTGTTTAGGGATCAGATTAGTAGTGGAGTTTATTTAGGAGAAGGTTGTTTAGATCATTCTTAGGAGAAGTTTGTTTTATTTCCCGCTTATAAATAACAGCGGATGTAATATTCGTCACATCACAGTTCAATAAACTTTCTTCCTTCCAAAAATAGATTCTTTCAAAGTTTTTCTCTTCATTTGTTTTAACATCAACTAGACTTTCACATAAGAACTCTTGTAGTAACGGTACTTGTATTCATCTTCAATCATCATCTTCGAATTCATGGTCTGGTTCTTCGTCAAATGATAGTAAGGAAACCAAACCAATGCCATCGTAAAACAGAATTTGGTCCTTTTCCAACGTATGATAAGGAATGTCAGATTGTCGAGAGCGCTAGACTTCGAATATATCCACAAAGACAGCGTCAACGATGCAGCGCGGTCTCAACCACTGGCGGATCTAGGGTGGGGGCAACGGGGGCCTTGGCCCCCACTGGCCCACCATAGTCTTTAATTATCTATACCTTTTTTTAATGTGATCAAAAAATTAAATTAACTAAATTGTTTTGCACCATAAAGTAATGGTGTTTTGTACTATTTTCCCGAGATTTTTTTGTTTTGCTTAATGGTGTTTTTAATGTACTGTTTTGCTTAAATAAAGGGTCCATATTCGAAGTGAATTTATAATAGCAGGTGGTTTATTATTAAAAAACACAAAGTTACAAGGTATTTTGAAATATATTTATGTTAATGATGCATAATTTTATGTAATTGAATGGTCATAAAATACATACTCCTCGTGTGATCAGATGATGAACATTTTGTTTTCCTTTTTTCGTATACACACTTATAAGCGTTTTGTTGAAAAAATAGTTTTTTTTTTTAAAAAAAAAAACGCTAGTTTTGATTTTGCCTATTAATCTACCGCTCCAAGAAGAGTTTTTATGTATGTATGACTAGTGATGTCTGGTCGCGCAATGCGCGACCCTGACCCAATATATCTGTAGATCTTAGAAATATTTGTATCTGAAAAAAATATTTTGTATTTGGCTCAATATATTTTAGAAATGTTTGAAGAATTTAGAAATGTTTTATAAGTGTGATCATAGAAATGTTTGTATTTGGCATAAAAAGAAGTTGTATTTGGGCCGGTACGTTTTAGAAATGTTTGAAGATTTTAAAAATATTTTATAAGTGTTACTTCTTAAATATAAATAAATTGATCAAATATATGTCTTGAAGTAAATGCTAGACAAAATATAAAAGCATCCTAATAAGTTTAAATATTAGTAAGATGATTTATTAATGTTCTCCATTGGTTGTACCAAATCAATACTTAGTTTTGGAGATTTATAATAGCTTTGTAGTAAGCTTCCTCCAAAAGGTATACGCTTAATTGTTGGAACTATTTCTTCCAAAAGTTTATAGATAGTAAAATATCAAAAATATGATTTTGAAACTGGTTAGTTAATTGTTGTAACTGGTTGATCACAAATATGAGAATGAAAATAATGTAAATTTGCATAGGTTTCAAATTATAGCAAAAAAGAACTCACCTCACCATGGCAAATAAAAAAAAAGAAAGTAAAAGATAGCTCATTAAGAATTGAGATATTTTTTTTTTCTGTAGGTAAAAATGATGTATAAAAACACAAATAAACATAGAAACATCATTCCTTTCCTCTCCACCTCAAATTCATAAAAGGCTTCCCCATAAATTAGTTAGAAGAAGCGACCTGAACTATTTATATGATGAGGAACTAAAAAAAGTCCAAAAACCAAATCTAAAAAAGTATATTCTTGAAAGTCCGAACACAAAAAAAAAACGCGCTTCATTTACAAATAAAATAAAATAATAATAATAATTGGTCAACTGGGAGTATGAAAAAAAATCAAAAGCAATTAGATAAAGAAAAAACACACTTCATAACTGACCATATACGGAAAAAAACAGAGACTCCATAATTAAAAAAAGAAAACGACTCTAATTGAATGAAACATAAAAAAAAAAAAAGAAATTTAAAAACCACACTATGTAACAAAAACCCAATTAATCAATTCAATCCAAACAGAACTAAAATCATAAAAATTATAGGCGTACTAACCATATAAGAAATCACATCATATTACTTGACAACGGTTACGGTAGCTGTAACGGATGGACGCATAAAAATAATAGTAATAACACTATTATTGAACGGGGAAAATAAAAAATAATAAAAGCCAAACAAATGATTTGTGAAAATAAAATCATTTAAATTTTAATACCTGTAATGGCACTACCACAATGGCCGAAGCAAGATCAATGAAATTTTCTTTTTCTCCTTTGTGTTTATATAGAGAGGTAAAGAGAATATTTTTTGAAGTCGATATTTTATCCGATTAGGATGTAGTTGATCATCACTAATGAAAAAATTGAATATGCTAATAGGAAAGGAGTATATTTCACCACATATTCTCAATTGATGATTGATGAGGAATTTATTTTTTTCTTTTTTTTTTATTGTGGAGAAGGGATTGATTAGAAAGTCGATTGTCGTGGAGATGGGGACGAGGATTTGGATTTTTTATGAACTCGTGATTTTTTTTTTTGACGGAAATAGGAGGTGGAGGTGGATTTGGACTGCATTTCCCTTTTAAGTCTAGAAGATGTGTAAATAAAAATTTATTTTAAAAATATGATGTGAAAATGCCACATGACAAATGGTGGTACTTTCTATTAAGTGTGATTTTTGTTTCTAATATAGTAAGAAGGGACTTTGTTTGAGTAATTGATGATGTATATGCGTGTACTGTATGATATGAAAACAGTTTCAAAATTTCATCAACATAGAAAAATTCATTGTGATAACAATAATAAAATGATATTATATATTTTTTTGGGTATTGTACTTGGCTCCCGGTCTAAATTCGTTCTAGATCCGCCACTGGTCTCAACAATGCGTTAAATGATCGTACTTCAAGGATGTCATTCATGAATCTCTCAGAAGTCAAACAAAAACTCAACACAAAGTATTGAGATTCACCAAGACTCCAAGAGTGCTACAATAACTTGTATTGCGGGCTAATAAAAAGATGACTCCCTTAACGGAAGCAGTTGTTTGTCCAACTGCTAATCTGTATGAATCGGAGAAACCATGGAATCGGGTGATTCTTCTCCATTGATTAGTTTCCAATGTAAAAGTCCTGGATTTCATGGTCGCTGGAGTCGGCATTTGGAATGACTCGAACAATTTTGAAACCTGTTGAAGAATCGTATCCGAATCCATTGACAGAATTGCAATAGTTGTGTGATGTATGAGGATTAATCTGTTTGAATTTCTGGGCTGATGGATTCCGTAACACCATTGTTGATTGGTTCATTTCATCAACCAGGAGAAGCAAATCGCAAGTGGTAACTTTCAACTGCTGACAAGAACCACTTCTTTCCGAGACTATCGAAGGGACTCTAAGGGCTTCGATGGATTTATGGTCATCGGAAAACAATTCTCTACGGCGAAAAATTGAGGAGGAGTACCGAAAAAACCACGAGGATTCATCTGTAACAAGATTTTCTCAACACTATGTTTGGATGTGTTAGTTGCAATCTTCTAAACAGATGGCTTTCAAATGGTATTTGTCCAGGATTTGTAAACACACTTAAAGCGGGACAGGGTTTTGGCAGGCAATCTTTGAAGAATTTCACGCTGAACTTTTTCAGATATATTGGAACTTTCTGTTTCATCCCAATGATCCTGCAGGGAAGCCATGGCTAAGAATCTTCAAAGGTTTGATAGGCTAATTTAAGACATGGGTAAGATTGCAGGAAAGACATTATACCCAATTTTGTTGGCATATAGTAATTCTAATACAATTCTTAGTTCTAATACAATTCCTATTATTACCTAGGTTTGGTTAAGATTCTCAAAAATTTAAATCATGGAATTATACAAACACAAACTACTATAGACATACAACCCCGGTCTTCAATGAGATACATCAAGAACACAAGAGGGTAAACAGAAAGTCTAAATGGAGAATTCCACACATTAACCAGAACTAAAAGCACTTAATTGGAAGGCATCATCATGCATTAGGCCTTTGTATTACATGAAATTTGATTACAGTTCCTTAGTCCGGAGCTCAATCCCCTCCACAATCAGCCCTTTTTTCCAGTTTAGAATGCTGGTTTCTGAAAGTTTCATCTCAATATCACGGTTTCCTTCATCATTAAAAAACTCTCCGAGCAGAAGCTCCATCCATCCATCTGTTCTAAGTAGCGGAACCCTGCCATGTATTTGCTGCACAGGTCTCCTATGACGCCTGTACCATCTTCGCAAGTAGCGTTCTCCACGAGGGGAATGTATCAGGTAGACAGAACTTGTCTCAGGTTCAAGGAGGTTATCATTGTTAATAACTGCACTAAATTGAACAGATGCCTTTGCAACCACATCAAGTCCATACGAATTCTCTATGACTCTGAAGATAAGGTAAGCTGCATAGGTTGTCCTCAAGGACAGCATTTGACTTGGCATCTTCCCTTGGATGTCGAGCCAACATACGCGTATCAACTCAGCCACCTCAGAGAACCTGAATGCTATTCGGCAACTAATTAAACATTGACGAAAGAAACACCATCGAAACTTGGAAATGAAAACCCGAGAAATTTGATACAGCACGGCTGAGTGAACCGCTTTGGGCTAGTGTCAACAAAGTACTCACTTCTGTCTGCACATAAAAGAGAGAGAGAGATACCTTGATTCAGGCATAGATGTCCAACACCAGTATTCTGGAGTATCCACCCATGTAATCGAAAGCTCCCTTGCACAAATCCTATAGCACTTCTTCCCACTTAATTTATTTAGCCAGAAACTCTGCACACCAACAGTTGAAATTAAGTTTAAGCTTCAATTTTATATCGATTATGCTATCTACTATCTAGAAATCAATATTGCACAAGGCTACTATGTTGGTCCCCTTTATTTGTTCTGGCTATGGGAACTTGGGCACACTAAAGCATAAGCAAGCCATTTGGCGTTGAATGACATGAAAGGAGAACTGTGAGCATGATCTTGAGATTAATTAAGTAGTAAGCTTGCTTAAGAAAAGCTCTGAGGTGGAACTAAAACTAAAGGCAACATCAAAGAAATTTACCCTGACAAAAAATTGTGAGTTTATATAAGTAATAAAATGGGCTTAATTAAACTAGTAGTAACCGGTCGCAACTAGCCAAATAATTAACTTCTTCAACCTTCATCACTCCGATACTAAAGCATCTTCAGAGATTTTGGACCTTTAAAATGTTAAAAGCAGTCATCTTTAGGTTGAGAACCTTCATTACCTTGCAAGTAACAAAGGCAATGTTCATTTTGAGTACAAACAAGTCATCTTCATCAGAACTAGTCCAATTAAACTGTCTGCTAGGACTCTTTTAACTGTTAGTCGATCAGCTAATAAACTCATCAGAAAACATTAGCTTCGAAGTTTTACTTCCTCCCGTTCCAAAATAAGTCTCATGTTTTTTATTCTAAGTACAACTCTGTTCTGTCCCAAAATAGTACAACAAACACCTCTAGGCTTTTAGCTCTGAGTCTGCAGGCTGCAGCTTGGGCATTTTAGTATAATACAAGTATGTAATTCGTGGTTTCGATTATAATCAAGTCTCAATTTCATCATTTTTTAACTTTCAACAACCCAAATTACATGATAACAGAACTGATGAAAAGAACATCATAAAAACCCAAAGAGGAAAGGGGAAAAAAACCAAGGAAAGTCAAAGGCTGATTACCAGTTTTCCATCATTGATGATAATTGGGGATTGACAAAGAGAAAAGAACAACTCCTTCTTGGTAGCATAATTCAACGGAGGGTCAACGGAGTTAGAGATAATCTGTTGGTAATCAGAAGGAAGAAATCTTTCCCAAACGGTATCAGATTCTGATGCAGACTTGAAAACCCATGAAACCGTTGAAGCCCTGCATGCATCTTTCGGAGTTGTCAAAGCTATGATGTTTGATATGCAACCCTCCGGCAAGAACGAGAAGAGTGATGAAATCCCAGAACTATTTTCCTCCATAAACTTCTTTTCCACCTTCAATCTTCTTTCTTGATTCGTTTGGTAAGTTCCAAGTAAATTAATTTATAAGGCCGATTTTGGAAGTTAGCACTTTTGCCGACCTTGTCAACGCTTAAAAAAAAAAATGTGATTCTCTCAACGTGTTTTAAATGGGTTACCATCATATAAAAAATTATAGCTGACTCAGGCCATAAATGATTACTTCTAGTGTTAAAAAAGTGATTATATTGATAGCAATAGCTCTGTAATCCGAACTTAAATTTTCGGAAGCAAGGACTCCTCTGCTTGAATGATAACTGCAGTTAGTAATTTTGATTTGGGATTAGATTTACGGAATTTTGCAATTGACATAAAGAAAAAAAAAAGAAAAGAAGAAGGAAAAAAGCAACATTAAAGATGGGAAAGCAATCCTAATGACAGGAGAGAGGCCGGGGAAATGTTTGACTTCACAAACCTTCATTTTGTGAAACTTACTAATAAGATATCAAGGCTCTCTCAAAATAATTTTTTGTTTATTATAATCAATTTGTACTCCCTCCGTCCCGAAGTTATTGTCGAGTTTGGATTTTTACTTCTTAGTTTAAATTGTACTGTCTTTATTCTAAAATTAATGTCCAGTTTGAAATTTCACTTTTAGAACAATTTGAATTAGAAATGAAAATCCAAACTGGACAATAATTATGAGACGGAGGGAGTAGTAAAATTGAGATGTGAAAAACTAGGTTCAACCCTCTCAAGGCGACAGATGAAGTATTAATATGCAAAAAACTGATTTGGATTTTAGATCACTAACCCCAAGTCCCAACTGCTAAGCTGATCTCTTTAGTAGCTGATTAATCAAACGAAATGGATATAAATAGTACTACCTTGAAATAAAATGGGGGAAACCATGCAATCGGGTGATTCTTCTAAATTGATTAGTTCTCAATGTATTAGTCCTGGATTTCATGGTTGCTGAAGTCGGCATTTGGAACGACTCGCACAATTTTGAAACTTTTCTGTGTATCCGAATCCATTCACAGAGTTGCTATAGTTGTGTGATGTAGGAGGATTAATCTGCTTGAATTTCTGGGTTGTTGGATTCCACAACAGCATTGTTGGTTGGTTCATTTCATCAACCAGGAGAAGCAAATCGCAAGTGATAAACTTTCAAGTTTCAACAGCTGACAAGAACCACTTCTTTCAGCGATCATGGAAGGGACTCTTAAGGGCTTCGATGGATTTATGGTCATCGGAAAAACTATTCTCTACGGCGAAAAATCGAGGAGGACTGGAGGAACCGATCATCCTGGAGGGAAACCATGGCTAAGAATCAGAGGTTTGATAGGCTAATTTAAGACATAGATAAGATGGCAGGGAAGACATTATATCTAATTTTGTTGGCATGGTAATTCTAATACACTTCCTACTAGGTTCGGTTAAGATTCCCAAATTTGAATCTTGGAATCAAACAAACACAAACTTCAATGACATCAAGAACACCGTAGGGGAAACAGAAAATCTAAGTCCACACATTTACCAGAACCAAAAGCACTTAATTGCAAGGCATCATGCATCAGGCATTTGTAGTACATGAAATTTGATTACAGTTCCTTAGGCCGGAGCTCAATCCCCTCCACAACCAGTCCTTTTTTCCAGTTCAGTATGCTGGTTTCTGAAAGTTTCATCTCGATATCACCGTTTCCTTCATCATTGAAAAACTCTCCGAGGAGAAGCTCCATCCATCCATCCGTTCTAAGTTGTGGAACCCTGCCAGCAATTTGCTGCACAGGTCTCCTATGACGCCTGTACGATCTTTGCAAGTAGCCATCTCCACAAGGGGAATGTATCAAGTAGACAGAACTCGTCTCAGGTTCAAGGAGGTTGGCATTAGTACTCTCATCATTAACATCAATGCTAATGGCACTAGGGTTACGAATAACATCAGCAAATTGAACAGATGCCTTTGCAACCACATCAAGTCCATACGAATACTCTGTGACTCTGAAGATAAGGTAAGCAGCATAAGTTGTCCTAGAGGACAACATTTGACTTGGCATCTTGCCTTGGATGTCGAGCCAACATACGTATATCAACTCAGCCACCTCAGAGAATCTGAATGTACAAAACAACTCATTAAACAAGGCGGAAAGAGAAGCCACTGAAATTTGTAAATAAGAACCAGTGAAATTTGATTAAAAAAAAAAAAAATGGTTGAGAGAACCGCCTTTAATGCCAACAAGTATTCGCTTCTCTGCATATAAAAGAGATAGAGATACCTTGATTCAGGAGTAGATGTCCATCCCCAGTACTCTGGAGTATCCACCCATGTGATAGAAAGCTCCCTTGCACCAATCCTATAGCACTTCTTGCCACTTAATTTACTCAGCCAGAAACTCTGCACATCAACAATTGAAATTAAGTTGAAACTTCAATTTTAGATAGATTATGCTATCTAGAGATCAATCTTGCATCAGGCTACTATGCTGGCCCCCTTTGGTTTGTTCTGGCTCTGGGCAGACTAAATAATAAGCAATCCATTTGGGTTGAATGACATGAAAGTAGAACTATGAGATTCATTTCAGTATGGCTGCTTAAGAAAAGCTCTGAGCGGGTACCGGCAATATAGGCAACATCAAAGAAATTTAATCTGACAAAAATTGTAAGAGAATACAGGTAATGAAATGGGCTTAATTAGACTAGCAATTGGTCTCAACGAGCGGAAAAATTAACTTGGCTGCCTTCATCCCTCTGATACTAAAGCACCTTCAAAGATTTTAGACGTTTAAAATCCTGAAAGCAACCATCTTTAGGGTAAGAACCTGAATTACCTTCAGTATAACAAAGGCCATGTCCATTTTCATTACAGACAAGTGCAATTAATTAATCTCTCTGCTAAGATTCTTAACTGTCACTTAGTTGATCAACTGATAAACTCATCAGATAACATCAGCTGATCAGCAGTATTTCTTCCATCCCAAAACAACGCATATGTTTATTATTCTAAGTAGAACTCTGCTCTGTCCCAAAATAGCAACATTACAATAATTTTTGTACAGATGAGTACTAACACCTTTAGCTCTGCAGTCTGCAGATTGGACATCTTGGTAAAATACAAAAATATAATTCATGGTTTCCTTAATAATCAAGTCTCGATTTCATCAATTTTTAATTTCCCACAGCCAAAATTCATGATCAGAACAGATCAAAAGAGCATCATAAAAACCCACATAAGGAAAAAAAAAAAAAAAAACAGAGGAAAAATCCAGGCTGATTACCAGTTTTCCATCATTGATGATAATTGGGGAGTCACAAAGAGAAAAGAACAACTCTTTCTTGGTAGCATAATTCAACGGAGGGTCAACAGAGTTAGAAATAATCTCTTGATAATCAGAGGGCAGAAATCTTTCCCAAACAGAATCAGATTCTGATGCAGAGTTGAAAACCCATGAAACCGTTGAAGCCCTGCATGCATCTTTCGGAGTAGTCAAAGCTATGATGCTTGATATGCAACCCTCCGGCAAAAACGAGAAGAGTGATAAAATCCCAGAATTATTTTCCTCCATTTCTTTTCCACTTTCAATCTTCTTTCTTGATTTGTTTGGTAACTCCAAGAAACTGAGTTAAAATTAAAATAGGCCGATTTTGGAAGTTTGCACTTCTGGCGATCTTATCAAAGCTTATTAACTTGTGAGCTTTCATTTTTTTATTTTTTTTTTAAAGAAACAAATGTGATTCTCTCAACGTGTACTAATAATATGTTACCACATACACATTATAAATTTATTTATTATATAGGTCACACTCTCCCAATGAGTTATATTGATAATAATAATATCTCTGTTATCCGAACTTTAAATATTTGGAAGCAAGGACGACTCAGCTTGAACAAATTATAACTGCAATTAGTAGATTTGATTTGGGATTATAATTAGTTAAATTTGTTCTTTCTTCTCCTACCGCAAACATGTTTCTTTTTTGTTTAGAAGGGAGATCGATCATAAATAGTGTAATAGAGATGGAATCAGATATTAACATATATGGTTACTGAAATTAAGCTAACATCTCAGGAGGCTGTATGTACTAATTATAATCAATTTGTATTAATATGCAAAAACTGATTGGATTTAGATCCATTTTTTAAACCACTAATCCCAAGTCCGAACTGCTAAGCTAATCTCTTTAGTAGCTGATTAATCAAATGAAATTGTTATTACTTATTATACCTTTGAAATAAAATTATCTAACTTTGATTATTAGCTTACAAAACGAATGAGGTCAAGATATAATTTGCGAAACACTTGGGATTGAGCCCATCATCAAGTCAGTCTGTTCAAACCATAATTTGTGTGTAGTCATTGTTTCTTTCCAATTCCTTGTGAAACAATAAAATGCAGAAATTCACATCTCAATGTCGTATATGCAGGCAAATTGTTGTATTGGGCATCATGAAGCTACCAAGAATTGGTTTATTAAGAAATGCATATAGCAACATGTTCCTCGCCATGAAACGGCTTCTATAAGCACTTCGATGCCCTAATAACACGATATAATATTGTATACTTCCGTTCTAAAATGATTAATGATGAGAACAAACTATCATATAGGAACTCAGAGAGGGCTACAAAAGATCAGAAAAATCTTTATAACTCTATGATAATACTACCACAAGTTGTAATGGTTTAAACAATAAATAGAGATTCAGATGAAAACCATAATCATTTCATAACCTGACTTTCTCCTGCTGGCTTGATACATCGCCTTAGACGACATTAGGCGAAACTAAGCTCTCAACATAGAACATCACGTTTCCTATAGTACCTGTCTGCGGATAGCTCTTATATGTATCAGTCTTTGGATTGTAAAGCAGAAAGTATGCACCCAAGACAAACAGTACTTCACCATTCTTCAATGAGCAAACTACTTGAGTATGAAAGTAACTATCTTTTGCAGGATGATCAACCAAAGAAATCGAAACAAACTTGGTCCATGAGTCCTTCATTTTCCATATATCTGCGCGATCACTTCGATAAATGTAAAACAAAGAGATGCAGTCTCCTAACGCTCCGAGTTTATGATGATCCGGTTTGCTTTCCGTGTCTGGAAGGTCCATTTCGTCGTAATACTCATTCCCCAAATCAAAGCGAGCGATTATATCCCTAACACCATTACTTTGAGTAAATTCACTCCTGCGCCAAAAGACATTTCCACAAGCATATTGCAGACAAGTATCCCTGCAAATGCCGCGATATCTAATCTTAAGATTGCGCCACGAATTATTCTTCAGACTATACACTCTAATTTCAGTCCTACTCGAAATCAAATGGTATATCCCAAAAACTTTATAATCCTCATTCAACTTATCATAGCCAAACCCGAAATCTGCAGTCCTATATTCCAAACCTGTCTGAGGCAATTTCTTAAATTTTCTAGTGCAAGGGTTAAACAGAAGCAAAACACTATTGTTAGTCTTCATACAAACAAGCCCATTGCAAGAACTCACAGGCCAAACTAATGCATTGGGATTCAGTAGATGATTAACATCAATTACCTCATTAGGGCTGGCGGTTTCCGAGGACGCGCCGTAGAACAGGGAATCAACGGAGTACTTCCGGTGGTGAGGATCACAGTTTGGAAACTTATAGACACGGAAGATGAGGCAGTGGTGTCCAAAATCATCACTTCCAGATGCGATTGCGAGATGGGCTTTGATGAATTCTGGGCTTGAGATCAAAGAGAGCCATGATTTCGAAACACAAGTGAATCTTCCCAAGGATTTGGCGGGTAGGCTTACAAGGATTTCATTGATGAGTTCAATTGGCAAATCTCGGGTCCGTGCGAAAGGGTTTGAATTTGATCCATCCAAGTATTGATCGATTTTGTTTTCCTTCTGTAGGTAATTAGGATGATTTTCCGGCTCATGTGAGCTAGAATCCATGGCAAAGTTTGAAAATTGTGGAGGAGCAGAGTATGGAGAAGAAAACGAAGCGAGTGACGGCAAGGGAAAAATGATAATAACAGATCGCAATGCTATTTATTACTACTAAAAAAACGACGGTCTTTAGAATTATTTTTTTTTTTTCATTCTGTAAATCTGTAAATAAAAGAATTACCTACATTTGAAGTTTTAAAGATAATCAGGAGCCGTTTGTTTCCTTTGAATCGGATTCAGGAAACATATTCCAAACCGTTTCAATTGTTTGGTTGCCTGGAATTGGATTCTTAGAATTGCTGAATCCAAAAGAATGAATCACCCCTTCTCCCCCATGATTCAAGTTGAATCCGAGTTTCAATCCTTTTCTGATTTTTTTTTTCTTTTTTATCTTAAAGAAAATTTCCTTTTCCTTTTCCTTTCTTCCCCTTCGTTATGTCCAAGCCCAATCACTACCAGCCGTAATCTAGCCGCTGGTGCCAGTTCCATAACTACCGCCGCCGCCTCCACCTCCGGCGTTAGTGCCATTAGCCACCACCATCTTCTAACTATTTCTTGTAGCCCGATTTATTCCCAATTCAATATATCAAAATTAACAATTATTTCTAAACTATGAATATAAATCAACAATTCAGATTTACCCTTAGAAAAATGCAGATCTAAATACAAATAGTGGAAGAAGATGTACTTTATTCCTTTTTTTTTCGAATTCGAAGTAGAAAATTTATTTGGAATTGTGTTGCTTTTGTTCTTGTACATTGGGCTATCCAAATAAATTCTGGTTTGCTGATCTTGTGAGGGAAAAGGAAAGAGAGGGGTGATAATTTTTATTGGCTCGAAATGGAGGGTGGAGGATGTTGTCTGGTGGGTGGTTTTGATGCTTCGAGATTGGAGGGGTGAAAGTGAAAGGTTTTTGGGGTTAAGAACAAGTTGTGAAGATTGGTATTTGGCGGAAAAGATGGTGGTTTATGAAGGAGATGGAATGTAGCAGCAATGTTGGGTGAAGATTGGTGGTGGTGATGGTGGTTTTCGGTCGGGGAAGTGGTGGGCGTGGGAAAGGAGATAAGCAAAACCTAAGGGAGAAAGGAAGAGATGGAAAAAAGAGATTTTTTAAAATTTTTTATAATATTATAATAATAGAAATTCATATCTTAACCAAACACATTATTCGAATCCATGAATCCGTGATTATTTGAATCCAATCTGCAATCATTCAAATCCGTTTCGAGTTGGCGAAACAAACAGCTCCTCAATGAAAGCAAAGTTATCATGTTTTATAAAAACACTAAAGTGTCTTTTATGGTGACTGGAAAAGCCCATCTTAATTGTAAAATGTGTTGTCCATCTTCTTCCAAAAATTAATTAAACTTTTATAATTTAGTCTCTCGTAAAATCCTAAATATAGGCCCACATGTGGTACCACCTTGATGACCAATCGAAGTAGCACATGAGATATATATATATATATATATATATATATATAAATATTGAATTCAAGTGTTTCCTTCCATCCATGTGGGACAAGGGAACATGAGACCATTTTCTTTCTTTCATTCATTTAACAAGCCCCTCTCAAGCCCAATGGGCTTGGACGGGTAATTTTATATATTATCTTTTTTTTTTAATTTTTTTTTCAATCTTGCGATCGGTTATTTTTCCAGATAAACTGTCGCCTACCAGGCCAATCAAAGTTTAAAGTCAAACATCGGATTTCTTGACCCAATTTGGGTCAGTCCACCTCGCCCCACAAGTCTCACAGGTACGCGAATTAAAACCCGCTCTGATATCATCTTAAAGGCCCATATAATCCAACATGTGGTTCCACCTAAAAACTAATTGACAATAAAGGGAGTAGCACATGGGATATATATGGTGATCAAGATGGCTTCCCAACTCCAATGTGGGACAAGTGTTTTTACTTGTTTTCAAGTTCAAAGGGGGATTTTAACACCTCCTCTTCAAGCCCAAAGGGGTTGGACAAGACCCCTTTAAACAGTCAAAGGCCCAATATGAGCCAGTCAAATCGGAAAAATCACTGGATCGGTCAAAGTCCACCCACAATGTCCGCGGATGAAAACCCGCTTTGATGGTTTTGAGGTGGAACCACATGTGGGTCTATATTTGGATCTTCAAAAATCTCATTACCGATTCCATTGCCAAACCTATCCCCAGAGATTCAGGTTGTTCACATCTGTAATGAAAACCTCATGATTAGACTCAAACACTTCATTGTACTCCCTCCATTCCAAAATAACGCGTCCTACACTTTGCACATAGTTTAAGAAACTTTTAAATAGGGTAATAAAATTACTTGAATATCCTTAATCAACCCCATTATAAAATTGTCCACCAATAGCATCAACTCTTTTGAGGGTAATTTTGAAAACTTTTGACAAAAAGTGCATTGAAATGTGAGAACGACACTTATTTTGGAATTTCTTCATTTTGCTAAAACGACATTTATTTTGGAATGGAGGGAGTATTGAAGTAATATTAATGATACAACCATGTCATACATAGTTACAAGAAAACACTATTCTAGAAGGTTCTAGATTATATATTGATAGAAGAAAAAATGATGAGTTACATCATTCACTTTTTTTGTGAAGTTTGATTTTAAAACCGATGTTGATGTGAAGAGAAATTGATTTTTGTAACGTTAAATTAACATAAGCATCCAACTCAAATTTTTGTGAGATAAAAAGACATTTATACTCTCATTTTAATTGTCCAAAAGGAAAGTAATAATATCATAAGAAAACGACGAAGTATGTATCGTGCCTCTCGTTTTACATTTTGTAACCGTCTTCGCAGCGTTACTTACTCAGCGATTTTTTTTTTCATGGGAAAGAACTGACGGAGAGAACCAATTCCGGCGGTTACATTGGTCATGTTTGTCACATTTCCAGCAACACACGCCATAAAGCACCTCATCATCACTGTAGAAGCTCTTAAAGATTTTCATAATCCCATTTCACATCCTCTTCAGTCGTAAGCTTTCATTGCTTCCTACGAATTCATCATTATCCCAAAGCCCCAACACACAGTCACACAGTAACGGCAGCTAATTTTATTTTCTGATAGTTAACAAGAGAAGCTCAAGAAAAATAAAAATGCAGGAATCTTCATCAACATCAGCTTCTGATGATACTTTCACTAAGGATGATTCAGATTCCTTAGCCATTTTAAGATCTTTTCCGCCGGAGCTCATCACTGAAATCCTCCTGAGGCTGCCGGCGAGATCCCTCTTGAAATTCAAATGCGTTTCGAAATCCTGGCGTTCCCAAATCTCAAGCCCTCAATTCACAAAATCCCATTTCGAAATCAGCAGCTCAAACCCCGACCACCGCCGCCTTCTCATGTGGAGTATATTTCAGGGCTATTATTACCTTAGACAATGCTCTGTAAATACTCTATTCTGTGATGATTTCAGCAGCGATGGAATTGACCTGGAGAATCCAATCAAACGCCATGATCGGTACGTTTCTTATGTTGGTGATTATCAGGGGTTGATTTGCGTTTGTGTTGGTAGAAAAACCTTGTTTTTGTGGAACCCAACTCTTAGAAAATGGAAGAAATATCCTCATTTTCATGTCGGATTGAATCGGAAGCTGGAACCTTATTATGTTGTGTTTGGATTTGGGTATGATGAGACTAACGATGATTATGTGGTATGCTCTGTTGTTTGTCATCGCGGGTTTCTTGATCTCGCTATCGGGGAGGCTAAGGTTTATGTCTGCGGTTTAAAGGCTCGATCTTGGAGGAGAATTCAGAGCTTTGAAGGTGGTGGTCATCCATGGGAGGATAACAGGGCTATCTTTCTTAATGGCAAATTTCATTGGACATTGGAGAAGAAAAGATCAGGCAAAATTGTTACCATGGATTTAGCTACAGAGACATATGGAACAATTGATGAGCCTAAAAACGGAAAGGGTCCTGGAAAATTGGGGATTTTCGAAGGTTGTCTTTGCATTCTTGCTAATAATAAGCATCTTGGGCATTCTGAATTTTTTATTATGAAGGAATACGGTGTGAAAGAGTCTTGGACTAAAGTGCTGAACATCCATTGTAATCCGATGAGAAATTTCATGTCCGTACCATTTTGTGCTTCGAGTTTGATGGAAGATGAGTTCTTGATGATACTTGGTAGAGAACTTGGATTGTATAATCAAGAGAACAATGGATTTAAGCAGGTGAAGGATTTCTTTGGGACAATTTACACTGCTAATCTTTTTGTTGAAAGCTTGATTATGCCAATGTAGACACCTTCAAAGGTGTGGCTTTCATCTATGTAAATTACTAGCATAGCTTACCTAGCTTCATATTAAGAAAATCTAAATACTAAGTCAAAAATCGAGTTTACAATCCAAGTATCCGAGTGATGTGCTGCTTTATACTCGATTTTCATTGATTGACCTGATTATCATTGGAATGATGGTTATTAAAGTTCGGTGGTTCTAGTTGAAATTTTGCGAATGTATGATCGTATTGCTGTGGCTTACAGTTCAATTTTGTGCAATGGCGTAATGTTCTTAAATGTTATTATGGATTACAGTTGGGGGTAAAGCTATCCCAGAAGTAGAACTGTAGAGGTATTAAATTTCAATTCTGGTTTAGCATTCTAAAGAACTGGACTTGAGGAAACAGGATAGAGTTACAAGCACAACCAAAGCATCAAACGTCTCACAATTGCAGATGTATTGGCCTTTACGTCAATATGTATATGGATGCTTAGTTCTCTCACAAATATAAGTACAATAAGCATATTACTCTTTTTTCCGACATGGAGTCTGAATCTTGATCATGCTTCCCTAGGTGGGAGCTCAATGCCCTCTAAAATCAGCCCTCTTTTCGTGTTCAAAGTGGTTGTTTGTGAAAGTCTCAACACAGTCTCATCTCCACCATTATTATTGAAAAACTCCCCCAGAAGAATTTCCCTGCATCCATCTTTTCTAGCCTGTGCAACCCTGCCTTCGTATGCAATCTGGCCGTCCATCCTGTCCTCGATGGGATGCGCAGGCTGCATGGAATTCATCCCAGGCTCACTGACGGTAAACATATCAGCAAACCGAACAGATGCCTCTGCAACCTGTCCAAGACCAATGGAATCCTTTGTGATTCCGAATACAAGGTAAGCAGCATAAGTTGTCTTCAAAGACAGCATATGAAGTCTGCGTCCTGCCTTGAATGTTGAGCCACCAAACACTTTCCAACTCAGCCACTTCAGAGAACCTGAAAGCACATCGATCAGTACTAATTGGCCAAAAATTGAAACACCAAGAAATTATTGTAACTCAGAACCAACAATCATTCATGATCTCCATATCACAGAAGATGGAGAAAATACCCTGGTTCAGGTCTAGATCTCCAACTCCAGACCAATGGATTGTCTTCCCATCCAGTTATAAACTCCCTTGCACAAATCATGAAACACTTTTTCCCGCTTGTTTTACTTGTCCAAAAACTCTGCACGCCAACAGTTAAATCCCGGGATGTTAACTAACTGAATTATGATAATGTAAAGACTAAGCTTGCAAAATACCAACAAGTTCCATCTACTCTGACTACAAGCAGAGTAAACCATAAGTGAGCCTGACATGAATTGATGTCAATAAATGAAAGAATTGCGACTTATGAGGATGATTATAAGAACAACGTTACCGATTAATTTTGCGCAACATTTGATTATTCAATGAATCTAGAATATAGATAACTGTTGGAGAAATGATCAGCTTACATTGATGATTTCCCTCAAGCACATGGAAAAGAAAAAAAAAATACTCTGCCCTTCTTCATTATGCCGATGTTAAATCATCTCCAATTAAGCTTCTATTACCAATTAAAACATTAATCCCCCACCCCAAAATCACTTTTCTTTTTCTTTTTTTTTTATAACTAAAAATACTACAAAAAAACTGAACACGGCGGATGAGTACAAGATAAAACACCTTTAAATGGCTCGTAGAGAGAGGTGATTAGAAGTAGATTACTAGCTCCCACAATACTCTGTCAGCACTCATTAGTAGACCAACTGATCCCAATCCAAAAAAGAAAAAAAAAGACAAGGACAAATAATGCTCGGAATCGAAGTCTTCGTCAAGTTTCTACCAAACTCATCATTAGTGAAAGAAAATTCCGAAAATTAACTCATTCAAAAGACTGATGCACAGTTCAAAACTCAAAAAAAAAATATTTGGTTACACTTGTCAAAAAAAAGGATGAACAGAGCGAGTGAAAGGGTTGATTGATTACCAGTTTTCCATCATTGATGAGAACTGGGAAGTGGGAAGGTTGAAGAACAACTCTTTATTGGAGATGCATAGTTCCAGGGAGGAGTATCAACGGACTTAGAGAGAATCTGTTGGTAATCAGAAAGCAGGAATTTTTCCCAGACAGTATCAGAATCTGATGAAGATTTGAAAACCCTTGAAACCATTGATGCACTGCATGCATCTCTAGGGGATGCCAACGCTATGATATCTGCTACGTAGTCCATAGGCAAAAACGAGAGGTCGAACTCTGATAAAATTCCACCATTATTATTATTATTATTCTCCATTTTTTGCTCTTCTTCTCTTTCTTCTTCCCTTGATAAGCTTAGTTAGAGCGGAATTGACGAAGGACAAACTCTCCGGGCAATCTAAAAAAGAACCGCCGGAGATGTTAACGGGAGAAACGCTCCGGTGAAGTGAAGTAAAGTTGCCTTTGAAAGGTTAAAAAAAGTGACAGGAGAAATGTAGAATGACTAAAAGTCTAAAAGGTGTTCCTTAATTTATTTCCACTTGGTTGACTAGTTTTTGCTAATAAACTTATACATAATTTTTAAAAATATTTTTGATCATCAATCTTATTAATTCTGTAGACCGATTCGAACAAGTCGAACCAATAAACCAGTTAAGTTACCGATCAAAGAAGTAGAAGAATCATGTTACGCAGCCTTCAATTTTCCCCATCTTTTAATTTGTTCTTCTTCTTCCTTGTCCTTTCCTTGACACAGTTTTGAGCTAAAAAGAAACAGAGAGGATGAAAAGCACCGAAAGACGGGTAAAAATCTACTTCGAATAGGAAAGGGAAATGTAATAGTAATAGGAAACAAATTGTAAATAAATCATTACTAATAAACAATTAATTACTTTTAATAAGTACTCCCTCCGGTTCTTAATATACGACATTTTGATTTATTCTAGGTTTGATCCAGTACGTATTTTTAATTGACAAAAAAACCTTAAAAAAATTTCATAACAATCATGAGATATAACGAATGTGAAAATATATTTTTAAGGCTTTTTTTTTCTAATTAAAAAATATGTACTAGGTGAAACCTAATATGAAATTAAAATACCTTATATTATGGACAGGAGGGAGTACTTCTTTACTAAATAACCTCTGATCAAACAGTTCTAATTCGGCCATCGAAATTCTTAACCATGGCTTCCCTGCTACACCATCATGAAAACCCTGAAAATCCCTACTTATCCGACGATATTCTAATTCAAATCCTCGAAAAACTGCCGGCCAAATCACTGCTTCGATTCAAGTGCGTATGCAAATCCTGGAGGGAAACAATCGGAAGCCCTCAATTTGCAAGATTGCAAATTGACTATTCCCACAAACTCAGACTTAATACTAACGAGAAAATCTTTTTGCAGATAAACCCTTCTTGTGGCTCCATGTTCCCTCAATTACACTATCTTAGCAACTTCGGAAGCTCCAGCAATAACATCTCGTTGCATTTAATCTCAATCAGCGATAACATTTTCCGAAATAGCTCAGCGGTTCGTGCCACCGAGGAGAATTGTTTTTCCTATGGTAATAACTCAATCAGAGCTCTTCAGGTCCCTTCCATAATCTCCGGCAAAAGTGTTGTTTTAAGCCCTTTAAAGTTAGCACTTGCGACGGTTTGTTACTCCTAGTTAATGAAGATGTGAATCATCAATTAATAATGGTGTTATGGAATCCCACAACCCGGAAATCCAAACAGATTAAATCCCCTGTACCCGGGAAAACCAACAAAATCACCAACTCTCTCTGTGGATTCGGATACGATTCTTCGATCCAGGATTTCAAAATTGTTAGAATCGTTGAAAATGACAATGACTCCAGCCAGAATGAAGTCCAGGTCTTCACATTGAAGACCAATTCCTGGAGAAGAATCCAATCCCCTGAATTCCCGAAATCATACAGTTTGCTGAGTTCACAAACAGCGGCCTGTATTCAGGGTGCTATCTTTTTCTTAGCTCATAGTACTAGCCTGGATGGAAGTGAATCTGAATACGCGGTATTACGGTTTTGTTTTGGCTTCTGAGAGATTCATGGATGAAATCCTGCCAGCACCTCCAAAGGTTTTATTCTTAGATGGTTTTCAGCTTGAGATGGTTCATGCTGTATTCACGGTTTCGGGTGGTCTCCCTTATCTGCAATGGACATATAAGTATAAATATCATAGATTTGAGGCATGGGTGCTTAAGGAATATGGCAATGGCAATAATGGCTGCTGGAATCGGATGTTCAACTGTTTCCCTGATATTTCGCATCAATATCCTTTCGGCCTGATTCATAAGGACCAAGTTCTGTACACAAGAAAAGGGCGTTTTCTGTATTGCGTTGATCTGGGGACGGATCAGAACCGGATGACAAAGCTGAAGATGGTGATTACCGGTTACGGTCAGGATGACCTTTTATTTTTCATGACCCCTTATGTGGAGAGTTTAATTGATGTTTAGTTGCTCTAATGGATGGTCTGAGACTGTGAGTCAACTCTTTTCTTTCTGAACTTTTTTATTAATTGATTTACATTACAGCAGAATGAAGCGACTGAATTAAATGAACTTATTCCAATTGTCATCTGATCAGAAAAATGTTTGATTTTAGTGATTCCATTAGGCCTTAAAATCTTGTGAAAATGAAACTATGATGAGTTTTGGAGACCTACCGTGTTTACAATGGACTTGTGATAATGAAACTATGTTGAGCTTCACTTAAAGTTTGTTAGTTAAGGAATGGCAATAGAATATGGCAACAGATATTGGACTAGGATTTTCTGATGCCCCTCCACAATCATCTCTTTTCAGTTAATCGGGTGAACAGTCAGTGTAGGATGATGAAGAAGATGATTGGAAATCAACAGGACTACTGTTTGAGGATTACTTCTTATGTAGAAAGACTAGTAACTCTTTCATAAGCAATTTATAACTTGCCTCAACTATTTCAATTTGCAGATGTTTGATCCTATTCCCTAGGTCGGAGCTCAATGCCTTCCACAATTGGACCTCTTTTTGCATTTAGAATGGTTGTCTCTGAAAGTTTCATCTCAATCTCACCAGCACCTTCATCATTGAAAAACTCACCCAAAAACAATTTCCTTCCATCCATCAATCTGTTCTTCTCACTGCAAACCTTCCTTCGTCTGCCTCTTCTGGCTCAACCAAGTATACAGAGGACTAGTCTCAGGCTCAGAGGCGGCTCTATATGTTTTGAGGCCTAAAGCAAATTTGAAATTTTTTTAAAAAAATTATATATTAGCATTTTTTCTAAATGTTGGTTGCTAACCAAACACAACCCTCCTATATGCTTGGCACCGGTAACTATAAACAAAAGTTTATAGTAGGCGGAGTTTTAAAAAAAAAAAATTTTTGAGATTTTTTATTTTTTTTTAATTTTTGTTTTATATGAATTTTTTCTGTCTAGCTTTTATAGATGCAAATTCTTTAATAAAAATTTCATACTCAATTTGTTGTGCTAAATCTTGTTCAATTGATAAACTAACTAATTCATTTAATATTTCTTCTGACATGGTAGATCTTAAGTAATTTTTTTATCAATTTTAATTTTGAAAAACTTATTTCAGTGGAAGTGACGGTTACAGGAATGGTTAACATGATCCTATATACAATATATGCATTTGGAAAAGAATTAACTCTTTTAATATAATTTAGTATATCAATTGGATTTGTTACATCTTCATGTACAACTTCTTTTAAAAGTTTTAGTTCGTAAAATAAATCCCATCCATAAATATCTAAACTATTATAGCGTTTCAACAAATTTTCAAGTCTAAGACAATTTTTTTCTCGAATTTTCATCATCAATTGATTTTAATTTATGCAAACTAAATAGAAAACCAAAAATACTTACAAAGTTTTTAAACTAATCAAATCTTCTTTGAAGTGATGAAATAGCTTAGGCCCTCGACGAGATTGGAATTGATGGCCAATAACTTTAATCTGTCAATTCCCTTGAAAAAAGATTTAGGTTTTCTTTTCTTTTCTTTTTTTTTTTATAGAGAAATTGTAAGGGTAGTACTGTCGATTCAAAGTATTTTTATTTTATAATTTTTTTATAAATAAATTATCGCCTTTTATACAAAATATTTTAAGGTCATATCTCTTTTCTTAAATTGATATGTTCTACTGCGCTTTTAGCCAAATTTTCCCTAAAACAAAGCCCCCAGTAATTTTATTTCCTAAACTAATAACATTTGAAAACAAATATAAAATCAATTAATCAAATACCAAATAACCCCAATAATCACTTAGCCAGTACCACTTCCACCGATTATTATCACTATCTTCATTCAACATGACTAACAAAAACAAAAAATTAATTAAACCGAAAAAAAATAAAAGCAATACATTATTACATTACTTTATGATCTATTAACAAAAGAATATATTTGAATAAGTTTAAGTATTAGCTGAATTTTTATTTTTTTTGCCACTTGAAGAAGTATTTGTAGATCAAACTAAAGCAGGGAAAAAAAAAAAAAGAGTTTAGGAGGAGAAGCAGATCAAGAGCTTCGGAGATTATTGAGGAGAAGAAAATCAGTAAATGTGGTAATTAGAAATAAGATGGGGAGGGTTTTTAAAAGTAGAATTCTAAAGTAGTTGGGAAACTTGGTTATGAATTATCTAGTTGAAAGTTAATTTTTTACCAGCAGTATTATACGCCTCTCTGCATCTTCCCAGGCGTCTCTTCAATTCTTTTTTTTATTTGATTGTTCACTTAAACTTTAATATTCATAGCTATCCAATTAAATGTTGAGATAATTTAATTATATAATTTTTTTTTTACTAAACACCTAATATTTTGGGCCCTCCAAAATTTGGGGCCTAAGCTTCCCCCTAAAGCCGCCTCTGCTCAGGCTCATTGACGTTCATAGCTTCAGAAAACCAAACAGATGCCCTTGCAACCCTTTCAAGACCATAGGAATTCTCTTTGATTCTGAATACGAGGTAAGCCGCATAAGTTGTCTTTAAGTACAGCATTCGAGTCTGCATCATAACTTGAATGTCGAGTCAACACACCCATTTTAAAAGAGTGTTAGTTTTTGAAACCACCATCTTTACTTCTTAAACTACCATAAAATTTTTTGGACCATTTTACCCCTCACATTTCAAACTTCCAGCGAAAAAACTAAAAAGAGAGCCACCACCCTTTCAAACTCCAATTTGAAGTCTAATTTGATCCAAAATTGATGGCAACACGGAAGAATCAAAGTGGGAAAGAGCTGATCTCATCAAGGGTACGTTTTTTTTAAAAAAAAATTTGTAAATTGTAGAAAAGAAAAAGTTTCTGGCCGCCGAACGGGCAGAAAAACCGTCCGGCGGCGCGACCGGGATGCGTTTCCGGAACGAGCAGAACGCGTGTTCCGGGTTGAACCGGGACGCGTTTCTTGCGAGTCCCGGTCGAGCCGCCGGATGGCTTTCATGGCCGTCCGGCAGTTAGAATTTTATTTTATTTTTTTGTGTGGCTGCCGGACGGCCATGGAAGGCGTCCGGCGGCGCGCGCGTCCCGGTTCAACCCGGAACGCGCAAAATGCCTTCCATGGCGGTCCGACGGTCGGAATTTTTTTTCCGGTCAGAATTATTTTTTATTTTATTTTTAAATTTGTTTAATTCATTATTAATTTTTAATTATGTTTAATTTAATGTAATTAGGGTTATAATGTAGTTATTTATTAATTAATAGTTTTTGATTTAGATTGAAGTTCTCTATTAATTTGTTATTTAGTTTAATTGTGTAAATAATTTAATTTGACTAGTTTGTAAATTAGTTGAGTTTAAAAGACTAATTTAATTAATAGTAGATTAGTTCACTACCTAATTAGTTTAATTGATTAAATTACTTAATTTAAATAGTTATTAAAGTATGTAGGTTATATTTTTAATTTAATTAATAGTAGATTAGTAAATTAATCATTTTAATTGATTAAATTAATTTAAATAGTATGTAAATTAGTTGAATTTTAAAAAATAATTTAATTAATAGTAGATTAGTTCACTACCTAATTAGTTTAATTGGTTAAATTACTTAATTTAAATTTTAATGTAGTTTATGATTAATTAAATTAATATAAATATTTTGTAAAATAGTTGGGTATTTTTGATTAATTATAATTAATAGTAATTTATAAAAAATTTGGTAAAATATTTTAGTTTATAATGAAGTACAATAGATTAATTTGTTTAGTTAGTTATTGTATGATAATTACTTTTATATTATGTACATCACAAATCATTATTATATGAATTGTACGTTTAATCAAAGTGTACTTAATTATTAAACTATTTAGGATTTTAGAAAAGTGTATATTTATTTGTTTAGACCAGGAAAATATGATGATGATGAATAAAATTTTGTTTATAGGTTTATTGTGATGATGATGATTATAGTGATACTAGTGATACTGAAGATACTAGTAAGCGTAAGGTTCGTGCGCGTTATCTGATCATGAGTCGTCGGAGGAAAAAAGAGGAAAAAGAGTTAAAGAAGCGAATGAAAATGACTCAGGTCAATATGGGTGGTGTACCATTTCAGACTCGGTCTAGTCAGCCGATTAATTTACCCAAGTATTCTGAGGACGACCTGGAAGATGAGGATGAGGATGAGGAGGATGAGGAGAATGAGTTTGATGAGTATGATGTGCAGGACAGTGTTAGGATGGGTGCGCATCACAAAGATACGCCTATGTACAATCTTAGTAGTTACCCTCCTCCCCTGTTTGGTTGTATATGTATTTCCCTAGCTTGAAATCAGAAGGGATTTTTCCTGTTGAGAATGGAGAATTGTTATGTCTGGGGGTGCACCAATCCAACCCGCCTAGTTTCAATGGAACTCAGGCTTTCAAGATTGTTTTTTGAATCAACCCCAGAAATAGGTGTTATGGTGCAGCAACTCAGTCACGATTGGTGCCACAAAAGTTTTGGTGACGTTTGTCATGCTGAAGCAGTAAGTGGAAGGTGAGATAATATTGGTGTGTTTGGCTTGACATATGAATGGAGCCATCTGTTGTCAGCAAGGGATATCTTTTATGGCAGCAAAAGTGCTTAATCTAGAAATCTTGTTGCTGATATGCATGCAGAATATCATCCGGCTAATATGGTTGCTCGCCAATTCGGTTTTGCCCAAAGCGTGCCACACGTTGAAGTATCTTGTTGGAACACAGGGAGACATGGCAGGGAGAAACTAACCACGGTGCAATATGCAGCACATAGGGAATTGATGGTTACCTGGGGTAGGACTTCTCTCATAACACCCTTCAAATTTTGTTTTGATGCAACACTTGGGTTCACAGACTGGTAGGGTGAGCTGTCAAGTACTAAGTACAGTTCTGGGTGTGAAGCAATCAAGACCGCATTTCGCATCGGCAAATATGTGAAACCCAAAGCTGCTGTTGGTGAAGCAGAAACAGAACCAAAAGGTTAGTCTTTCACTTTAACTGTTGTCTGTATCAGATTTCTTTGTGGCATACACGTCTGATTTTTTGTCTGTATAGGGAAGGGGAAATGTGGCGCCAAAGCAAAGACTGGCGCACAGAAAGGCAAGAAAACCACTGTTGTTGCAAGAGGCAAAGTTCAACCAATTGCTGCAAAGGGAGTACCAACCTCAACTCGTCGGTCCAGTAGGCTAATTGGACCAAAGCGTGCAACAAGCGAAGCCAGCAACAAGGTAAATTATCACAGTCAACATTGTTAGTGTATCAAACAATAAATTGTACCAAATGTTAATGTGATTGTGGCGTAACAGGACCACCCTGTGGCCGTCTAGAGTAGTGATGAAGAATTGGACAGTCAAGGAAGTGAGAAAGGCTCTGCTGCTGTTGGTGACAGCACTGTTGCTAAGAAAGCAATGTCTGAGACTGGTGGATCGAAGAGTAAGAAAAGATTGAGGACTACCAGTTCATCCAATCAACCGGATTCTGGAAAGAAAGCCCCTCCAACTGTTGCAGCTCTACTAGCCCGTCTAGAACAAACCAAGGCAGCAGCTTATGTGAAAGTAGATGTTTCAGCCAGTGCTCCTAACATCCCCTTAGGTGTTGCCCTGTAACAGGTTGCTTAGATGTTCCAACTTCCAGCTGAGGAAGTGTATGGGAAGAGGTATGACCAATTGAAAACATTGTTATCTACGATTCAGAACTCTCTTGTAGATGACAGTATGGCAGCAGCTATTCGTTTGGTTGCGGCAGAAGCGGCCCAAAAGCAGATTGAATGTCAAGTTTGCGTTCCACATATTGAAGAATATCATACTGCTTATGGCCTGCAGGAGAAGAACATGATGCTATCGGTGCAATTGGTCGACCAGGCAGCTCAACTGGAAGCCAAAATCAAGAAGGCAATGGCTGAAGAAACGGAGCTCAAACGCAGATGGGAAAAGTGCAAGCTTAGCGATTGGGTCTGAAAATGAATTTAGGTGTTGTAATTGCATATACTGAAGTTACACTTGGGGGATATGGGAGAATGACTGAAATTGTGAACAAGCTGCACCCCAAGTACCAAGATGCGCAGAAAGTTGTTGCAGGAACGCAGACAAGCTGGAATTTCCTGAAGAACACCATTACACGTCTGATGCAGACTGTAGGAACAGCACCAAATTGCCCTATTGCCACGGGTCAAGCACATTCAGACCGCCCAGAGGAGGTTCCAACCCAAGGAGGAAGTGCTGCACCAGAAGAAATCCAGCAAGATGTGCCACCCCCTGATGAAGAGCCCTTGGATATCCATCCTTTGCAAAGCGTTCCAGCGTCTTCTTCTGCTTAAAATATTTGCGTCAGTATTTTTTCTGCTTGTAATCTGGTCTGTTGTTGGGTTATTCGGATTGATGTGGGCGTTGCAGCGACTATGTTCCTGCACAAAAAAATTTCTATTTTGGTTGTTAGTAATAAACATGGTTTTATTTCTTAATGATATCTGGTAGAAGCAATATCCCGTGCTGGTTGTTGCTCCTCTCTGTTGAGTTGATTCGATGGGGTATCAAAGTACTTGTGCAGGAACGTGGCATTACTAGATCTGTCTGCAACTGTACCATCTAGATCTTTCAAAATGTAAACCCCACGTCCTAAATGTCTGCGTATGATGTAAGGACCTTCCCAAATAGGGCTCCATTTACCATAAGTACGGTCCTTGTATCCCAAGGGCAAAACTACTTTCCATACCTTAATTAGTACCAACATTCAAGTGTTTGTATAGAACAAACTTGTTGTAAGCACGGATAATTCCAGCCTTCTGGGTGATGATATTTGTTGTTGTTAAATTTCGTCTATGGGACAGCCTCTTTTGATCAATCTGCATAGCTGTTGCATATTTGGCTGAATCCAAAGGAAACTGCTGATTAATTCTGAGGGAAGGCACAAAATGCTCAATGGGAAGAATGACGTCATGACCGTAAACTAATTCATATGGAGTTACCTTTGTACTACCCCGCTGTGTTACCCTATACGTCCATAATGCTTGACTTTCCCGTTGTTATCAATGATGGAGATTTGGTAATCAGTTGACTTCCCTTTTGTTTATACTCTCCGTCTCGAAATTATTGTCCAATTGAAACAAATTTGGAAATCCAAACTGTCCAATAATTTTAAACAGAGGGAGAAATTTTATAAGTGTGTTTTTAATTTGTTTAATTTGGATTTTAATGTTGTTTTGATAAGTATTATTGTAATTTCGTACTAAAAATGAAAATCCAAACTATACAACCATTTTGAGAGTTGATTTTGCCAAAACAAATAAATAAATAAATAGAATTATGACTATTTGGCAATGCAAGAAGGCAAATTAAGAATTAAAGATTAAAGATATATGATCTCTTTGTTTATCTTCATAACTGTCCAGATTAAAGATTAAGATAAACAATTATGCTAGATCATATATTGTAATAAATTTACCTAGCATAATTGTTCTAAAATAGAATCTTTAATTGTTTTGTATCCTGACTATTTGGCTAGGTAGATTTAAGTGGGAAAAAGTGCTTTAGGATTTGTGCAAGGGAGTTGTCCATTTTAATGGCAGATTGCCCATTTTACTGGAGGTGGAGAATACGTACATCAAGGTACCTCTCAATTAACCTATCAGCATTATAATAGGATTTGACATTTTCCAACTGTCATTTAAAAATTTGGTGTTTCTTCAGGTTCTCTGAGGTGGCTGAGTACGAATTGAAGGCAAGATGAAGACTGAAATGCTGCCGTCGAGGACTATTTATGCCGCTTACCTTATCTTCAGACTTACAAAGAATCATCGTGCACTTGATGCGCTTGCAAAGGCATCTATTCGATTTGCTAAATCGTTTAGTTGGTACTACAGTGTCAGTAGCAGAGCTAAAAATTCCGAGAGTGGTGTCAATAGGCCTGATCTTAGTTTTGTCTACTTGGTACAAGATCGTCCTTGCCCAACTGACAAGCTGTCAAAAAGGGAGAGGCGAAAATATTTTAGTAACCCAGCCAGGTTTTCGCAACAAAGAGCAGATGGGTCGAATCACTTCCCTATTGAAATTGTGTGGTGAAAAGATCTCTGATGTGGAGATACTAGAGAAAACATATACCACCTTTATGCATCTAATGTGCTCCTGCAGCAGTAATATCATGAAAAAGGGATATAAAAAAAGTAGAGTGAACCTCAAAACAAGTCATCAACCTTTAATATATTTCCACTCTAGGTCATCAATTAAATTTATTTGTAACACAAATTACCTTACTAAAGTTTTAATCCTTTTCAGATTATTCTGTTAATTCTGGCCGTTAAATAGTGACGGAAATCTATTTTACACATGTTTTTGAGTTCAGGGGTATTTTTGTCATTTTTTTTATTTTTTTAATCTTTTAAATTTTTTTAAAATAGTGGGAATCTCCACTATCTTCTTCTATAATCCTCTCAAGGAGCGGGGCGTTTGCCTCGATATTTCGTTGGTGCAGATTGTGAAGACCATCACATGATGCTTTCTCGACTAACGTCTGGATCAATGACAGTAGTGGAAATCTCCACTCCTCTTTATCATCTTCTCAAGCAACAGGGCATGTGCTCTAGTATCTCTATGGGGCAGATTATTGAGATCATCACCTATCGGCTTCTCACTCGAAACTTTGAATTGATGACTCTCCTTTCGTCACAAATTGGCATAAATGTCAATCGCCCTTTATGATACGTGCATTCGACAAGGTACATGCTAATACTTTTATTGCTTTAATTTCTCCTCGATGCTAACCTGTCACAGGTTCTCGATCCAAGTCAATTTTTCCCAAACTTGAGGAAACTATATACTCCACGTTATCAAGCCTACCCTATCTTCAGACTTCAAAGTATAGGCTTGATAAGGGGCACTTGACGAGTCCAAATTAGTACGGCCTGTGACTAGGCTGGCTCAAGTTCAGTAAAAGGTCCAACCGGCCTCTGGAAGCTTCTAGGTCGGTTCCTAATTACTTTCTTACCAAGAAAGGTTTCCATAACCCAGCTCTATAAATAGGGATCAACCCCTTATGGTTAAAGGTACGCTCTACGCACCACAATTCATACCCTAATACAATTACTCTTACTGACTTAAGCATCAGAGTGTCTACTATCGAGAGACCCCGAGGCCCTCCTTTGTAGGTTTTAGGGTTTCGATGCCACCATGGCCGCCGGTTCAACCCTCGAGAGACGTTGGTAAAGATCCATGCTTCGTCAATAGCCTATCTATATGGGTCACTTGATAACGAAATTTACATGAAAATTCCTGAAGGTTTTCAGATCCCTGAAGGATTTGGTTCTCGAGAGCTTTATTTAATTAAATTGTGTAAATCATTGTATGGCTTAAAACAAGCCGAACGAATGTTATAACATCTTGGTGAATATCTGATAAAGGAAAGTTATTTAAATGATCCAATATACCCATGTGTTTTTATCAAAAGATGTGGATCTGAGTTTGTAATCATTGCAGTTTATGTTGGGACTCCTAAAGAGCTCACTAAAGCTGCAAATTACTTGAAGAAAGAATTTGAAATGAAAGTCCTTGGAAAGACAAAGTTGTCTTGATTTACAAATTGAGCACACCGGAAGTGCTATCTTTTTACATCAGACTGCTTATACTGCTAAAGTGGTTAAATGTTTTTACATGGAGAAAGCACATCCTTTGAGCACGCCTATGATTGTAAGGACACTTGATGAGGATAAAGACTTTTTTAGGTCTTGTGAGGATTGTGAAGAGTTACTAAGTCCAGAAGTAGCTTATCTTAGTGCTATTGGAGCATTAATGTATCTTGCTAGTCATAGAAGACCTGATATATCTTTTACTGTGAATTTATTAGCTAGATATAGTTACTCACCTACAAGAAGGCATTGGAATGGTGTTAAACATATATTTTGCTACCTTCAAGGTACAATAGATATGGATCTTTATTATTCAAGAACATTTAAACCCGATTTAGTAGGTTATGCAGATGTTGGGTATTTATCCGATCCTCATAATGGTCGATCCCAAATTGGTTATGTTTTTACATGTGAGGAAACATTTATTTCATAGCGGTCTATGAAATAGACTTTAGCTGTAACTTCGACTAATCATTCTGAACTTTTGGCAATTCATGAAGCAAGTCGATAGTATGCTTGGTTGAGATCTATTGTGTCTCATATTCGAGGATCGTGTAGATTACATTTGGAGGAAAAAGTCCCTACTACTTTGTTTGAAGATAATACTGCCTGCATTGACCAATTGAAGAAAGGATACATCAAAGGTGATAGAACGAAACATATTTCACCCAAATTCGTTACCCATGATCTTCAGAAGAATGGTAAAATCAATGTTCAACAAGTTCGTTCAAGTGACAATTTAGCTGACTTATTCACAAAGTCATTACCAACATCGACTTTTGAAAGGTTAGTTCACAAGATTGGAATGCAGCGATTGAAAGATTGATGTGCTCAACAGGGGAAGTTTCTCCTCACGCTGTACTCTTTTTTCCTTGATCGAGGTTTTGTCCCAATGGATTTTTCTGACAAGGTTTTTAACGCGACAACGTTATATATGGAAATATACTCTTTTTCCTTTATTAGATTTTTATCCCACTCAGTTTTTTCTAGTAAAGGTTTTAACGAGGTATTATTCCAAAAAATGGACATCCAAGGGGGAGTGTTATAATTATCTGATAATGTGGATGTCCACAAGCTAGTAAAGTTGTATAAGAATTCTTTGTATAGAGATCATATTTATTAGATATTATCACCAGTTAGATGTTATCTCTATTTGATCTTATATCTGTATCTGTTATGCCTATAAAAGGAGAGCAGTCTCTGCAGAAATAATACACAGATCATTCTCTTTTTCTTCCTCTCTTTTGTTCTCTCTCCCTACTTGTTCTTTTTCTCAGTTTTATAAATTTGTTATTTAGTTTTTATTTATAACAAAATTAAAATATATAAAAAAACATACTGGAAACGTTTGGAACAGGCCTAAAAACCTCCCCATCACCGCTTTCCCATTTCTTTTGGTCTGCTTCAGATGGGTCCAACTCTCTTGGCCCATTTTGTTACCCTTTCCCTTGAGCCCCACTCTGATCCCCCATCTTCCTTGTCAAACTGCTGTCATTATTACACGTGTAAAACAAGCACTATAAAATGTTTTTTACTCTGTCGGAAAGATTACACCTCCGGCCTTCTGTTTGTTAGATTGCCTGGAATTCGTAATTGTTCTCCGCATTTCCGGCGAACTTCTGAGCAGAAGCATTTCGCCGTCATCGATTCCAATCTAACTGGGAGGAAAAAATGGAGGCTAAAAATGAAGGGATTATATCAATCTTCTCGTTCTTGCCCGAGGGTTGCATAGCAGCTATCATAGCTTTGACCTCCCCTAGAGATGCTTGCAGGGCATCGATGGTTTCGAGGGTTTTCAAATCTGCATCCGAATCTGATTCTGTTTGGGAAAGATTTCTTCCTTCTGATTACCAAGAGATTATCTCTAAGTCTGTTGTTCCTCTTCCGAATTATGCAACCAAAAAAGATTTGTTCTTTAATCTCTGCCACTTCCCAATTCTCATCGATGATGGAAAACTGGCAATCATCCCAGACTTTTTCTCTTGTTTATAATTTAATTTTTCATCCTTCCCTTTTTGGGTTCTTATTATAATTCTGTTTTGATAAGTATGGAAGCTAAATGTTGATTAAATTGTGACCTGATTTTGAGGAAAATCATGAATTACTTTCTTGTATTGTGAATTAAGCTAAAAATGGGATCTTTGATTGTTGGTGTGCAGAGTTTTTGGATAAGTAAATTAAGTGGGAAGAAGTGCTATATGATTTGTGCCAGGGAGCTTTCGATTGCATGGGGAGATAATCCTCAGTATTGGGGCTGGACATCTATGGCTGAATCAAGGTATGTGTTTATCTCTGTTTTGTGCAGAGATTATTGATTTCTTTTATTTGCGGTTCTATCTAGAGTGCTATATCAAATTTCACAGTTTTATCATTTCCAAAATTTTCGTTAGAACTTGTTGTTTCTTTTTCCATTGTCTAATTAGTATGTAGAAAAAATTCAAAATTTCCATTAAAATGTCATACCCGGCAGGCGCAACCCGTGTGTGGACACGGGTACTCTGCCCCTGTGTGAAGAGTCCGGGTAACATAGATAAACCATTTCAGGTTCTCGGAGGTGGCTGAGTTGGAACACGTTTGGTGGCTCGAAATAAAAGGCAAGATGCAGACTCAAATGTTGTCCTTGAAGACTACTTATGCCGCTTACCTTATCTATAGAGTTACAAGGCATTCTTTTGATCTTGATGTGGTTCCAAAGGCATCTGTTCGACTTTCTGATGCTATTAGTAGCTCGGCCACTGTCGTTAGCAATGCTGCCAATGGCGAGAGAACTACTCAAAACCTCAGTGAGCCTGAGGATAGCTCAGTCTACTTGGTACATAATGTTCCTCGCAGGCGCCCCAACTCATCAAGATGGGAGAGGCAAAATTATGAAAATAGGCCGGGCAGAGTTCCACAGCGTAGAGCAGACGGATGGATGGAAATTCTGCTCGGAGAGTTTTTCAATGATGAAGGCGAAGGAGAGATCGAGATGAAACTTTTAGAAATTGAAGGGGTTCTCAAGAGAGGGCTGATTGTGGAGGGTATTGAGCTCCGGCCTAAGGAATGATACTTGAATTTCATGTACATGTTAAATAAACCAGAATAAACCAGACCATCAGACAAATGCCTTTTGTATTCACAAAGTGTCTTTATTTTCTATTTTTCACCTATTTCTAACGAATAGATACAGATCTACTACTACCAGGTAAATCCCCCAACCCACAATGATCCACGGCTCCATAATTAATTTAATATATTTTAATTATTGCCAAGTCGGTTATTCTATAATTCTATGTGGAAGTCGGTTGCAACACCAAAAAACCTATATATGGTACAGTATATATTAATATGGTAAACACTTTCTTTGTTTCTTGAGCCTTTGAGTCTAACTAAACCCTCTTGGTTTGTCTATTGAGCTGCTTCCCTAATGAATCAAGAAAGAGAGGAAAAGACCGATGAAATTTTGGAGGAAAATAATGGTGGGATCGGGTCGGCCTTCTCATCCTTGCCGGAGGGTTGCATATCAAATATCATATCTTTGACAACTCCAAAAGATGCATGCAGAGCATCAACGGTTTCAAGGGTTTTCAAGTCTGCATCAGAATCTGATACTGTATGGGAAAGATTTCTGCCTTATGACTACAAGCAGATTATATCCAAGCCAGTTGGTCCTCCTTTGAGCTATGCAACTAAAAAGGATTTGTTTTTTAATCTCTGTCACTCCCCAATGATTATCAATGATGCAAACTGGTAATCAGCCCGACCTTCCTCTGTTTTATGATTAATATTTTTTTAATCCAATTTTCTTAGGTTTTTTTTCCCTTTTTATTTTTGGTTCTGACAAGTATTGCCAGTTTTGATCATGTTCCTAGGCTATTGAAAGTTAAGAAGTGATTAAACTGTGACTTGATTTTGACCCCCCAAAAAAAAAAAAAACAAAAACCTGACGGTTAGAATAGTAGCAGAGACAGCATTAGTTCTGCTGATGACTACTTGTCTATGATGAAATTGAACATTGCCTTTGTTACAATGAAGATTTTAATTAATCAGGGTTTTGACATGTATTATGTATGTTTGTTGGCCTTATTTGTGGGTTTGGTTTATTGTTCTTTCTTAGTGCTTTAACATGAATAGCAGGAGCTTTCATAGAACTATCATCTTCAGAATAATAAAGCGTCCATGCCAAAAACTTTTTGTTTTGTTTGTATTTTGACACATAAAAAATCAATGAATGTGGCTAGTATTTTGCTGAGATCGACCTCTTCTAGCACAAATTAGCTGAAGTAGAAACTTTCATTGTTGGTGTGCAGAGTTTTTGGCTAAGTAAATCAAGCGGAAAAAAGTGCTACATGATTTGTGCAAGGGAGCTTGAAATTGCATGGAAAGATGATCCGAGGTTCTGGAGATGGAAATCCATACCGGAATCAAGGTACATATTTATCTCTTCTCAGTGAATACTTGTAGGCACCAAACTATAGCGGTTCTGTTTAGAGTTTATCAAATTTCACATTAATTTCGATGCAACTTTTGTGTTTTGTTTCCTCATTGTCTAACTAGAACTAAATTTGTTCAGGTTCTCTGAGGTGGCAGCGCTGGAAATCGTTTATTGGCTCGACATCCAAGGCAAGTTGCAGACTAAGATGCTCTCCATGAAGACAACTTATGCTGCATACCTTATCTTCAGACTTGCAGAGTATTCTTATGGTCTTGATGTGGTTGCAAAGGCATATGTTCGATTTTCTGAAGATATTAAAAGTTCTCTTGACCGTGATGACCCTCAGGATTGTTATGTCTACTTAACACAAGCTTCTCAGAGACGTCGTGACCGGCAATGGAGCACGAGGCAAATGTATAACAAGCCTGGTAGGGATCCACAACCTAGAGCGGATGGATGGATGGAAATTCTTCTCGGAGAGTTTTTCAATGACAAAGGCGAAGGTGATGTCGAGATGAAACTTTTAGAAACCGAGATCCTTACAAGTAAATTGGGGCTGATTGTGGAAGGCATTGAGCTCAGGTCTAAGGAAGAATGATGATCAAATTTCCATAGACATTGTAAATGCTGAAGTACTTAAACCAGGTTGTTGGACTAAATGCCCTAACTGATGAGAACTTCCAATACATTGCTATTGCTCTGGTGTAGGTGTTATTATATATTCAAAATTTCCAATTCCAATTTCTGTTTTTACCTTTCCTGGGGAAAAAAAAATGGTCTCTTTTACATTGTTATGTTAAAGTTGAACAAACAAAATTCTTATTTTTACCCGATCCGTACAATCACACCCAACCTTGCCCAATTAAATGTAACGTTTTAGCAGATGTAAAGATGTATTGGAAGTTTGAAACTATTGGAACACTGAAGAAAGAATGCGCATTATTTGCACTTGCACCCATGACCCAACACCGAGTAAGCATCTAATTCATTTCTTCAGCATTTTGTCAAACATTCACAGTCAATTTCAAAAAACAAAGACCAAACAACCTCATCTGAAACGAAGATCTATACTCTTTCAGTCTCGAAATGATATGTGCTTGTTTGAACGTCAACTTACATTTTATTTTGCCACTTAAAAGTGGAAAGTGTTTCAAATTGAAAACTAAATGTCAAATAAAAATGTTGTTTGGATGTTGGTTTTGAAAAAAAGTATTTTAAACTACATTTTGAAAAATTAATTACAAGTCATCACTAAACAATTAAATACTGTCAATTATAGTCACTGCAAAAAAGAACTTTCCCAAAAACAATCACTCAACAACGGAATCCTGCTAAATTTATCACTGAACTATTTGTAGTTCTAAAATGGTCATTATACTAACAAAAAGTGTTTCAAGTTGGAATTTAAAATGTAAATCAAAAAGTTGTTTGGATGATATTTTCTTTTTCATTGAGTTTTGTATTTAAGAGGTAAAATGAGTGAAAATGTAAACAAAATTGATGTCCAAACAAGGCCATACATCAGTGTGTGTACCTTGTTTGCAGCAGTTTTTGTGTCATTTAAGAAGTTCTCCCCCTTTTTTTTAACTTTAAGAAGTTCTATTTAGTTTAGCGCAAATAATTAATCCCTTTGAGCCAGGATAAAAATTTCATTCCGAGGTAAAAGTTATCTCGGTTCTTTTTATAGTCACCTATTGAAATTTCATGGACTTTTTAATTTTAGTTTTTATTTTTTTGAAAACAATTTAGTACATTAAACTTTGTACAGATTGATCCCTCCTCTACACTTCTTGTTGATTCTTGGTTTAAATTGGATAGTTTTCCAGTTAAATCCCTCCGGTCTTCAGTCTAACAGCCATGAAAGAATGGAGTGAGAGACTATGACAGAAAACTAGAGTTGAGAACTTGTTCGGAACGTTTTATGCATAATTTTTATTTTATTTTGTTATTATTTTTTTTTAAAAAAAAACAAATGATAGAAAACTAGATTTCAAGCCAAATGTAGTAAGTTTTTTTGATTGGTTACGCTAGATTTTTAGCATTAGTTCAGAGAGTCAAAACATAATAATTGAAATATTTGGACGCACAAATCAACCAATATTGGAAAAACGAAGCTATTTTACCGGTCACATTTACCAAATTTACAAACTCAAAAGAGAAGGCCAAACGTGAAATAAGGGACAAAATTTTTTGTCTGCGTAGGAAAACACTTCACCCAGCAAAAATTTAGAACCATTGAACCCTCGGAAACTAAACAAAAACACACAAAAAAAGAAGAAGCATAACTTTAGGAATAGTCCTGATTTTCCAGGACAACTGACAATTCCCTTACATTTTCACGTTTTCATCAAACCTAGGATTTTTGTTGTTTGTTGAATTTAATGTAAGATGAACAAATCATAATGTTGAAACCCAACATCGGATTGAGCTGTTGGGGAATGAAAACATGAGAAAATTCCATGCAAGAATTTTCCATCACGTGAATAAGTTAGGAAATTTTTAGAGAATCATCATCAATATCGTAATGGCGACAACACCAGGAAGGAAGGTGTCATCGCCGGCAGCGGCCGACCGCCCGCCACAGGCCGTGAAATTTGCACGTAGGACGTCCAGCGGCCGAGTTGTGAGCCTGTCGCGCGACGACGAAATAAATGTGGCTGAGGAATTTTCCGGGTCCAGTGATTTTATCAACTATACAGTTCTTATGCCACCGACCCCTGACAATCAGCCTGGAGGGTCTTCAAATGCTGGACCGTCCGGGGACAAGCCGGACGGGCCTTCTCCGTATGGCACCGCCACTTCCAGGTTCCGAAATGAAGGGCAAAGGGGACGTATGAGTAGTTTAGGCGGCGACGAAGAAGGCGGGGGAAATTCAGGGGGAAAGCTGGACAGGGGAATGTCATTGATGAAATCGAATAACAAGTCGATGTTGTTGAGGACCCAGACAGGCGATTTCGACCATAATCGATGGTTGTTTGAAACAAAAGGGAAGTATGGAATAGGAAATGCTTTCTGGCAAGAGGATTCTTATGATCAGGACACAGGTTTAGGCATGTCTGATTTCATGGACAAACCTTGGAAGCCTCTTACCAGGAAAGTTAAGGTTCCTCCAGGAGTTCTTAGTCCTTACAGGTAAACACATGCTTCAGCATCCCTTTTCTCCATTCTTTCTTTTTTCATTCTTCTCCTGAATAGGATCGTTCATCACTACAAAGAAGATAGTCTAGTGCCAAATCAAATCCATGAGCAATCTTGGTCGGAATTGATAGTGTTTTTAGGCCAATGATTGTTCAGACAATTCTTTATCTGTACTAAGGCCAAACACTAGGTTTTCGCATTTTCACATCCTTCAATCTGAATGTAAGTCAGAAGGAACATTTCATCGATGTCTCCTTTTTGCCTCTTCACTGCACTTTACAAACATTTCTTGAAATCGAATAAATACTGAAGCTAACTTACATTTTCTGCTTATAGGTTATTGATAGTCATCCGTCTAGTGGTACTATGTTTCTTCCTTGGATGGCGAGTAGGTAATCCTAATCAAGATGCAATGTGGCTATGGGGGATATCTATTGTATGTGAGATATGGTTCGCATTTTCGTGGCTGCTTGATATACTTCCCAAACTAAACCCTATAAACCGAGTAGCTGATCTCGCAGCTCTGAAAGATAAGTTTGAGACAGCTTCTCCCTCTAATCCACGTGGGCGATCTGACCTCCCAGGGATCGATGTGTTCATTTCTACAGCTGATCCTGACAAAGAGCCTCCACTCTTTACTGCAAATACAATCCTGTCTATCCTTGCTGTTGAATATCCGGTTGAGAAAGTGTCAATCTACATTTCAGATGATGGTGGAGCCATCTTGACTTTTGAAGCAATGGCTGAAACAGTCAACTTTGCTGAGGTCTGGAAAATTATGCTTTCATCTGCTTTCAGCTGCATATAAACATACAAAAGTTTGCGGGTTATATAAGCTTGCAAGCGTTAGTTATAAATCAAGAGATATTTACTAATAGGATTAAAACCTTTCCTCGAGACATTTCCTAGGTGATCCTAGTCAAGTACAGAACTCTTTTCAACCACTTTTTTTGATACAAAAGTTAAACACCACTTAGATCAGAGATGTTACAGCTACCTTCAACTTGCAGAGACTTAAACTACATTGTATCTCTTTCTTCTTAAGCATCTGAATATGAACATGAGCCATACCTGGACCTTGTTCTAAAAGTAATATAACTAATGACTCTGCCTATCTTATGTATGCACATTGCCATTTCGAACTAAGATTGTACTAATGGCAATATAGTTGGCTAAGAAATGTTAAAATATAGAAAACAAGTGCACTTAGGCGTCATTATGCAGTAGAAATAATGATACCACAAGTTCTACCTCCCTGGTATCACAGAACACATGGTATATCAAAAGTCAAATGCCAAAAATGATAATTCCAATTTTAAAATATCAACATCAGAAGCTATATCATAGTTTTTTTTTATCTTGGACAGGTGTGGGTACCATTCTGCAGGAAACATAATATTGAGTCAAGGAACCCTGAGAGTTACTTTTCGCAGAAAACTGATCCTACCAAAAATAAGAAGCAGCCTGATTTTGTCAAGGACCGCAGATGGATCAAGAGGGAATACGATGAATTCAAGGTTCGGATAAATGGTTTACCAGAAGTCATACGAAAAAGGAGCGAAATGTATAATTCAAAAGAGAAGCAAGTAGATGTAGAGAAAAATGGGGCTTCAGATAAGGCCAACGTCACCCCTGCAACATGGATGGCAGATGGAACACATTGGCCAGGAACATGGCTCGAGCCAACAGCTGATCACAAAAAGAGCGACCATGCTGGAATCTTACAGGTGCATACAAAATACTTTTTCCCTGCTATGTTTGAATTTACTAACTCAATTTGCAAAGAAGATTGCAACCAGATTGCAATTCATACATACATATGATATTATAGACTCACAAAAAGAAATGAGTTGAGCCAAATCTTTGATGCATATGACATGATGATCTTAAAGAATTGAAGAATTTTATGCTTCCTCGTCTTCAATTGACTATTTTAAGGGGGACTCCTTGATATTTACCACCCATTCAAACAGGTAACATATTTTTGTTTGATTCCCATAGATAATGAGCAAGGTACCAGACAACGATCCTGTAATGGGTTATCCAGATGAAAAGAAGTTAGATTTTACTGGTGTTGATATTAGACTTCCCATGTTTGCATATGTCTCTCGTGAGAAACGACCAGGATACGATCATAATAAGAAGGCTGGAGCCATGAACTCCTTGGTGAGAGCTTCTGCAATTCTCTCCAATGGGCCATTCATCCTTAACTTGGACTGTGACCATTACATCTACAATTCTAAGGCAATTCGGGAAGGAATATGCTACATGATGGACCGCGGTGGAGACCGCATTTGCTATGTGCAGTTCCCACAAAGATTTGAAGGAATAGATCCTTCAGATAGATATGCAAACCACAACACTGTCTTTTTTGATGGTAGGAATATTTTCATTGATTCCGTATGCATAAATTTTTAAAAAAGTAGCTATAGTTCATCCAATGCATTCTTGTTTATCCCACATCAAAATCATATAGCACCTTTTGTTACAATGCACTCGGAAGCCCGCAATCCAAAACAAAAGAAGAAACAAGGAATACTAGGATCTTGACATTTCTGCATTGAGTTATCGATGAAAGGACCACAATATAGCCTGTCCAAATCTTGTAGCATAACAATTTACTGTAGATCATGCTATTTAAGACAACCAAGAAAAGATCGAAGCACTTAGAGAAGTTTGATAACTGGAACTTAGAACTTGTTTCTTCACACAAAGTGAGAAACTCTAAGACAGCAAACCCTTTGATTCTCAAAATAGGAACTTTGACAATGTTCAAACTCAGCTCTACATTTGGTAAGCTACTTGTACAGAACTTGTGGTTTCCCTTTCCAGGAAATCTCACTTTTAGAAAGAAAATGCAAGATGTCTTTAGTCACTGATAAGAAAGCTTTATTGAGAAAGAATCAGAGGATATGAATTTATTTTAATTGTAATACTTAAAAGGAAAAGAGAGATTAGACCCATCTACATAATCACAGAGCCATAAGAGACATGCAGAAATGTGATAGTTTTGGGCTTGATTTTTCCCATATTATTTTTAACTTACTATGCCTGCTGTTAATTCTTAAAAACACTCTAAGAATGCCCGTTGCAGGTAATATGCGCGCATTAGATGGTCTACAAGGACCGGTGTATGTCGGAACTGGTTGTATGTTTCGACGGTATGCACTATATGGGTTCCACCCACCAAGAGCAAATGAATACTCAGGCGTGTTTGGACAAAACAAAAGTCAAGCCAGAAAGATCCCTATGCCATCTGATGATGAGTCCCAGCCACTTGCGACACATCCTGACTTAGGCTTACCAAAGAGGTTTGGCAATTCCACTATGTTCACCGATTCTATAGCAGTTGCAGAATTTCAAGGAAGACCTCTCGCTGACCACTCCTCAGTAAAGAACGGAAGACCTCCAGGTGCTCTACTCACGCCAAGACCACCGCTTGATGCTCCAACTGTTGCTGAGGCAATTGCTGTTATCTCTTGTTGGTAATGCAGACCTACTTCTCACTATTTAAGCAGTTCTTCACTAATACTAGAAAATAAATGATCTGTTACAAATGCTTAAGAATTTGAAAATTGGCGCTCGCTTATAGAGTTCATCTCATGACATGCTGATGAACATTTTATGAAATTAGGTATGAGGACAAGACTGAATGGGGAGATAGAGTGGGATGGATTTATGGGTCAGTTACAGAAGATGTGGTCACTGGTTATCGTATGCATAATCGTGGATGGCGGTCTGTCTATTGTATCACAAAGAGAGATGCTTTTCGGGGCACTGCACCAATAAATCTCACTGATAGACTCCATCAGGTACTTCGATGGGCAACAGGATCAGTTGAAATCTTCTTCTCTAAGAACAATCCCATGCTTGCAAGCCCACGACTCAAGTTTCTCCAACGTGTGGCATACTTTAATGTTGGAATCTACCCTTTCACGTCAATTTTCCTTGTGGTCTATTGTTTCCTTCCGGCTCTTTCCCTCTTCTCAGGGCAATTCATAGTACAAGGCCTGAATACCGCATTCCTTGTCTACCTGCTCCTCATCACTGTCACACTGACTCTAATTTCTCTCCTGGAAGTCAAGTGGTCTGGCATTGGCCTTGAGGAATGGTGGCGCAATGAACAATTTTGGGTCATCGGAGGTACTAGTGCACATCTTGTAGCAGTTATACAAGGTCTCCTGAAGGTCATCGCTGGTATTGAAATTTCATTCAAGTTGACAGCAAAGGCTGCTGCTGAAGATGAAGACGACATCTATGCTGATCTTTATGTTGTGAAATGGACAAGCCTTTTCATAATGCCATTAACAATCATAGTGGTAAATATTGTTGCTCTAGTGCTTGGGATATCAAGGACAATTTACAGTCTGATTCCACAGTGGAGTAAGCTGTTTGGTGGAGCTTTTTTCAGCTTTTGGGTGTTGGCTCACATGTATCCCTTCGCTAAGGGATTGATGGGAAGGAGAGGCAGACTGCCCACCATAATTTATGTCTGGACAGCGCTTTTATCGATTACTATCTCACTGCTTTGGGTTCAATTTAATCCTCCATCAGGATCAGTAGCTAGTGCACCTAGAAATGTGACTTTAGAATGGTTTTGACAGTAAAGATTTCAGCTGTTCCAGCTTTCTTCAACATTAACACCGGCAATTTTACTAAACTGCCAATGTGGTTCCTAGATTTCACCCCTAGTTAATATCAGTACTTGTTTACATTATTTTATAAACAGTGGTAATCATGTGTTGGAAATCTTACTTAGTTAGAAGACATAGAGAAACTTCATAAAATTTCTACGAATTTTGGCTGCTTTTTCCTATTTTCAGAAGTGTTATTTGCTACAGAATTTACTGACATGTTCATTTTGGCAAAGCGTTATCAGCGTTCTAAGGCATGTAACTCGCTGCTTTCTGAAACAAATGTCACATCTCTTTTCATATATTTTTTATCTTCATATTCTACACCATTTTAGGCTTTTAACTCTATGATCAAATTATTCTACACTAACCAGATAATTATCTTTTCCCAGTTACTCTTTAAAATCCTACGCGTGACACTCAACGCTATTTTGTCATACTTATATTACGTTGTATTTTGTTTCAATCCATGACGACAGCCTACTAATGAAAGTCAAGCATAATTTTATTATATGATATAAGGGGAGAATATGCATTTTTATCTCCATGGACATATCACATAAAGTATGCATTGACTAATTTGTCATTAAACATTTCAAGGTTATTTTAGATCATCTTAGTGGTTAAATAGGAACAACATTTTATATCCTCAGCAGGCCTGAACTTGAGGTACAAACAGGAAAAAGTTTTAAAAAATTTTGGAGCCATAAAACTAAAATCAGAGAGGGAAAAGCTAGATACAATGTCAATTGATTCAACAATGTAAAAAAACCTCATCATAAACCAGCAACATTATGATGATTACAATTAATTTCTCTACATCCTGCTTAACATAGAGAAAGGGGATATCACTTACCAGAATGCTTCATGTCACATGAGAAATTCGCGAATTCTAACAGGTCTCTTTACAGCATTGGTGAATCCCTGCATAATTAAATGTCTCAAATTACTAAAATTATGTTTAACATCCCAGGTCCCCTAGTATGAATATGAACATTTTCAATAGGATAACATCTAGCATCATAGACATGAATACGACAGTAAAAATCCTGAAGATATCACATAAAATCAAGTACATCTCAAATAAGAGCTACGTTGGATTAACCTTATCCCTTCAGATTTGTGAACTACGTTGGATTAACTTTACCTCATTGAACTTGAATAAAACAGGATGCAAAGATTTCTCTGTCTTTCCTGGGCATGATGCATCAGGTTCTGCATCTTGAGAAACCTTACTTTTGCTTTTTCTAAACCTGTTTCAAAAAAAAAAAAAAAAAATCAGCACAAACAGCAATAAATTAAGTACAAACACCACTGCAATTAAGTAAAATCGTTCATCTGTTTCTTAAACCTAAGAAATCACAAGTTTCTTGTAGTTATGGCTTTGCACTTTTTTTTTGCCAAAGCTACTGCAAGAACAAAAAAAGGTTACAAGACGTGAAGCAAACTTCATAACAAACTAGGAAAGAACACTATGTGTGCGTACAAAATCTCTCACTCTTGACTTGTTCAATCATCTTTAGATGCGGGAGAACAAACATTAAGAAATCCCGAAAAATTATTGAAATTAAGTAGCCATGAAAAGTCCCGGACATTGCTCAGAAACATTAATTAACGAAGATCTTGTATTCCAGGCTGATTCGGGCAGAAGAAAAAGGGAGAATATTATTCTGAGTACTTCCAATAACCTAAAGCTGGCCTATTTTCAGTCCATATATAAGGGTATGCAAAAAAAAAAAAAAAAACGATTTTTCAAGGCTTGCCTCATTCTTTCAGCAAAGTGAACTTTTTAAACTCTCCCCTATAAAAACTAAATCTTTCATTTTTAGCAGCACTTTTTTCCAACCCACGACAAATTAAATGAAATGAAGAACATGTCAGTCCGTACCCCTAGCATCCTCAATGAGACGAGCAAATACTTTGAAGTGATAATACTAAAGAGAAAAAGTAAAGCACAAGCAGGTGGAATTGTCTATAACAGCTCATACCTGTCAAAGAAATTAAAGGAACTAGACAGCTTCTTCTTCTTTTCAGAAGAGTTCGCTTTTGCACTTGATGTGGATTCGCCACCTGGTTGTGTAGTTAAGGTCTTCAAGGTAGATACTGTTTCCTGCCTTGGTGTCAAAGTTTTGGCATTTATCTGCTTGTCAGTTGAGGCAGTTGACCGGCAGGATCTGGTAAGTTGTGAACTAAGGTTCTCTTTTTCTGGCAGATGGTTATTGTAGGTAGAGATTTCTAAGTCTGTGGATCTATTAGTGCTGGCCTGTAGAATCTTGTGCTTTTCCACCTACAATATAGTATTGATTTTATCAGAGAAAGAGCAAAATGTATATACCAATCACAAATCAATTGCTCCGTATCGTAATGATGCATTCTGCATGAGGAAAATGTTGATGGGAACAAATAGAAAAGGATTACTAAAGTCTATAGAACACTAGGGAAACAGGATTTGGCAAGCTTTTGATGATAAGGAGCCAGCTTGGAAACTAGATTAACTGGCAAAAAGAGTGTGAATTAAGGCTTCAAATGCAAGGATCTGATTTTGCTGTTTTCAGTCTTTCTTTTTGGTTTGTAGTCGATAATTGTAAATCATTATAAAATTGCATCTTTATTAGGAATATGCAGAATTATAGATTTCCTAATTTTGATTTCTCATATCTAATGCTAATTAGGGAAAGTGCCTAATTTAAACAATTGGTTTTGATTTGCGGTCCAGAGGTACCTCTCAAAGATGAGATTCGAAGTTGTAGTCCAATCGAAATTTTTAACACATTTTCGTCTTCGTCTGAGGTTGTGAAATGCAATTTTGATGACAGCAATATCATTAAATCTAATAAACCTATACTCCTCATCGATCTACCCCGTCTTACCCATAAAACTAGTAAAGGAAAACAAAGACAAGAAAAAGGTGCAGCTTTTCCTATTCTAGTTACCTGATAGCATCCATATCACATTCATGTCAAAGATTAAATCAAAAAAAAAAAAAACTTTCATATTAGAGTTTCATTTTGGCTTTGGTTTAGCTCTTGCTATGATGATGATTATCCAGACATTCAAAACAATTCCTCATGTTCATACATAGGAAAAGTGCTTGCGCAACAGCGTAACTGTAATAAAACGGTCTTCTCGATTAGTATTTGTGGATGCACCGACTGAGTGTAGTTACCATCAGATTAATTATAGACAATAATGCATGACAAAGAGCCATCACAATCAACTCAGATTAGCTACATACCTCATGCACCAGGACCTGCTTCACAGCTGAAGCCAAAACAAAGTGACAGCCATCATAACCCTGTTTGAAGAATACAAGTTAAGGAATTATCGAGAACTACGAACAGGAATCCCTTCCTACATTAAAGAAGATGCAAATCTAAGTGTACAGCAGAATCAATTCCCAATTCCTTTGAAAAGGGGGGAAAAAACTAACCTTGAATTTTATGAAGTCCGCAAGTGGAGGATCAAATGAAAGCAATGCGGCATCAATAACTTCTTCATGTTTCAGGGATCCAGGCAATGAACTAGGTTTTAAGTTCTTGTAAGATACGGCATAGGATACCATCAACTCAACCAAATTGGCGAATTCCCTCTTATCTTTCTCTGAGAGGAGGTGCATTGCCACCTGCACCAATAGACCCACAGTAAGATTCTTTTAGTTGCCTATAGTTAGTGACTACTCAAGTATGCCAATCATTTCCAAACCATTTACTCAACAACAATTAGAAAATGCATCAAAGGATCTGCAAATATGTTTCTTTAGTGGTACGAGGTCCACAAGATATCAAAAAGTATGGCAAACTCTACTATATCGTGTCAGTTTGGCTCCCATGGATTTTTTGAGTCACTGTAGGTATTAGCACCTCCAACAAGTCAAAAAGATCACATGCTGCTAAAAGTTTCAGGATTCGTGAAACCTTTCAGTGCTCTCATACAGTAAAGCCTTTACAGAGAATGTTGACAAAGAACCTCCAGCTCAATGGAATTTCCAAAACCGTATAAAAACTTTACCGGCTTTAAGGTAGGTGGAGAAAGGATGTGCAGTAATGGAGATATCAACTCTTCTGTGAAGTATTTTGGCGACAAATGCCTTGAAATATGTGGGGATATTCTGTTCTGCCAGCAACGTAGTACATCCAACTTTTCTAAAGCTGAAGTTCGGTATCTACAGGTTCATAATCAAAATTATGACTAGATGCAACAAAATATCTGAGGGATATTTTTGGCGAAAATGAGGTGTACCTTTGGAAAGATTTTGGCCATTCTATATTGGGTCTATCGACTTGAGCTATTAACCCATGTATTGCTACTGCAACCTGAGGTTGATAAACTGAAAAAAAGAAATGCAGATTTTAGCCGCGACAGGTTTTGCAATATGCGATTCAATAGCTTCAAAATATTATGTGTTTCATACCTTGAAGGGACATCTGTTGTGTGCGCATAATATATTTGTGAAATATATTAGAAATCTCAAGATTGTCCAAGCATGTGACCTATAGGAGATAACAATACACATGTATGAAATGGGAAAGCAACGAAAAAAAGCTAAATCCAATGGTGGATACTCAGACAATATATGATGGAAGAGGAAAAACTTACAGTCTTGTGCATCATAGGATCATAATATTGAAGTTGTAAGAAGTTTTCATAAATCCCATCCAAGATCAAATCATAGTCACCACTGCAAAAGATATAATAAATGTAATCAATAGTAATTTATTCATAATGAAGAATTAAGGCTCTTGAATCCATTGACCCACCGATTAGATATCAAAGAGTGCAGGAAGTCAAACTCATTCAACTTGTTATTGAATGCATTAATGGATTTTCTTTCCCGCTTCTCTCTTCTCTTTTGGAAAACCTAGGAGAAATTGTTCAAAAGGGACACAAAGCATGAGAGGAAAAGAGATTATATTATTCTGACAGAAGAATCAACATTTGAAGTAACCACATTCACCTCTTTCCATATTTCTAGAGCACTTTTCGATTTGTCCTTTCGCCCAACCACTTGTGAACTGATCTCTAACTGGAACCAAATAAAACTAGTAAAATTCAAGCTAATAATGAGTGATGGCATAATCAATCTGAGATTCGAAAATGATTATGGGAATAGACACAGATAGCTGGAAACAAAGTTAAAGCCAACTAACACAAAGATCAAATCTTGATGGCTTGCAAAGACAGTAATCAGAAACATCATGACAGGAATGCTTTCAGCATAGAGCCAATAAAATCTACAACACATTTTAAAAAAATGTGATGACAATCAATTTATCATTGAGATCATAAATATTTACTGAGGACATACAGATGGGAAAAGTTACCCAGAGTTTATTTTGGGAGAAAAAGGAAACACAGTGAAAGGAACCTCAGTAAAAGATTGCAAGATTATTAAGTTGCTCTCAATTTGGACATCACATAATAGGCAATTTTCAAAAAGAAACATTCAAATAAACCACCGCCAGCATTCAACCTCATATCAACAAACTATGAAAGGTCTTCACATTGAATATTAACTGGCATATTACCGTATGATCTGATGATTAATAAAGTTCAGGTAGATGAGCATATTACCGTATTAAGGGTCTGCTTCTTCTTGTTGAGGAACTGAAGAGTGTTCAAGCAAGACCTTATGTCGCATTCTGCGAAAAAAAAGAAATGGATGGGTATCAATATATGAAACTAACTCACAAGATATCAAGTCATGGCGTGATGGACAAAAAAATAACAAGAAAATATTTTTGAAGTGTGAAGGCAAGATATCAAAGGACAGCCTGGAGCATAGTAGCTCCTGCATGATCACGGGAAGGATCACCAATGAGGCCTGATGCATAAGATGCAAGACATCTATGTCCAGAAAAAGTTTTTCAGTCTTTAAGCAAAACCGGAACTCTTTAATCCAGACAGTTTCTAAGAGAGACGTGAAAAACTTGTATTTACTTTTCATCTCAGCATTAGAATAGACCTCAAACATAATAGTTCTTTCTATTCATTAAGATACTTGAAAAACTATTTGATTTTAAAAGAAGAAAATGAGTAAACATGAGCATAACAATAAGATAATTTTCACCAAAATATATTGTTACTGATTTGGCAATGAATGCAATGAAAGACCTCAAAATTATTCTTTTTGAGGTCTCATGAGGTCTCACGTATGACCCCTTGATTAAAAATTTCTACTTTTGTTTATGCAACATGCTTCAGTAAGTCTTAGATGCTCGGATGAAACATTGATAGGGCAATCCGTTTCCTGAGAGCTAAACACTGGGACAAAATTATAAATTGCCCACCACCAAAACGAGTTTCTGGACTGTCAGTGATCCCAAATAATTGTATAAGCTTTGTATTTACCTATTTAAAAATGCTCACATGATATCCTTTTTTGCATGAAATTTTCTTATTTTTTCGATGCTCCATAAATGTTGTTTCTAGTTTTGGCTAAAGAATTTTTTTAAAAAAAATTAGTTTAGCTGAAGAGACACCACGCACCAGTATATTCTGCCAGCGCTGTAAGAGAAATGGAAGTTGTCTTGACTCCTTCCTTGTTACAAATGTACTTAAGTCTGCGATTGCATAAAGCACATAAAGGCAGCAATGTAAGGAGAATCATAGAAATCCGAATATAGTTGAAAGAAAAGGTAGAAAAAATCCTCGTATAATAATTGAACTTCGGCAAAGGAATGCAAAAGATAAAAGATTCTTAGCATTGATCAGTTTCCATGACATGCATATGGGTGTAGATTTAAGAACACAATGGATATAGTTGTATACTTGTTCTGGATATCACAATGCAGATGATCTCATGAAAAAGTTTGTATTTGAAATTGTGTGAGTGATTTTACAAAATGATAAATGTACGGTAGCATTTCAAAAAAATAAAATAACAGTGCATACACAGAGAACAAAAGAAGCCTCATGGATCCAATTTTATATGGACATAATGAGGAAGATCATTCACCCTATTGATGAATCATATACTGTATATTATTTTCACTCAGATCATGAAAATCGTTTATTTATTTATTTTAACTCAAGCATTCCTATCTACATAGTTTCATAAGCATATTGGTTTTATACCAATTATACTGCCTCCTGCACTGGAAGCGAAACCTCAAATCTTTATTCTAGCTTATTACCTGTTTACAACTCTACTTACTGTTGGCTGAACAAATACATGAACCCTGCAAAAAATAAACATGAAAATCATTTAATAGAAGATTTTATTTGAACTACACGTTTCCAAATTCAACGGTTCAACAATGCAAAAGAATTTGAATAAATACTCACTTGGCAACCTGGCGTAACTGCCTCAATGCAGGTGCATACAGATCATTACAAATACAAATTACCTACACGGAACCACCATATCAGGCGTACGAATTTTTATTATGTACTTACGAACTTAAAGTCAGCAGAACTTTACAGGTCTCAATAAGGAAGTTTTCTTTTGCTTTTTCTTGGAAAGTTTCCCTTCATCCTGTGGTTCATTTTCTTTTCCAAAATCAGCTTTTCTGTCGGCAGCCACCTGTGGAAACAAAAGAAAGATCATGTATCCTCCCGAGCACATTGCTTATGTTGAAAAATTGATTCAGAAAACTGCAATTACTGAAAAATTACTTACAAAAGCCAAAAAGATGTCCAAACAAGCATACTCTTTGGCTTACTAATCAAGGCGATCCAACCAAGTGTAACTAAAGATTAAGATAATAGTCTGTCTCCACAGAAAAGAAACAGCTTAAGCTAGTTGCCCTTTTGTACTATAAACAGTCCAACATTGAAACATAAATTTTCACAATGGGACTATTATTATCACTCTTATGAAATAGTAATATTATGTTTGTCCATCAATTTTATCACAATGATGCCAATATCATGACACTAATTTTGAAATTTAATTGTAAAAGTTTGGACTAATAAAATGGGATAGAAGTAATGCTTTGCAGCCAATTTACTGGCTATTTACAAGTGTCAAAGTTAGAAATGTCACTAATTTCCGCAACCAAAAACTTGGCAAAATCCTAAATTTACAACACACATGTGTATCTTACAATCTTCAATTAGCTATAGTACGTGAGAACTGTCTTCTAGAAATCTTTTAAGCATGCCATTATATAATTAAGGAATATATGCTAAGGGGCAAATGACTTGTATTTAATAGGCAAATTAAGCAAGCATCATGGATTGGATGGGTTGGGTTATAAATCTGGGTTGACAAAGACAGCAGGCTACACTTCAACACTTTACGGGCCCATGGTATATTACTACTTCAAAGTCACATCACAAGCTCTCTCCTTTGGGCCTATAATAAAACCCCATTCCCATAGCAATTAATGCCCCGTTTAGGTGGGAAGTTAGTGGGCCAACTAAAATCCGCGTAACCCCTGCCAGTAGTAAAATGAAAGCAGCTCCATCATCTTCGTCACCATCATTAAATATCTAAATGCTCTGCTTTTCCAAACTTCTACGCATCAGCAGCACCGTCAGAGGAGGAAATGGAGGTCGAATCGAAGAAATCAAACGACCCGGAAAGTAGAAGAAGCGGGAGGGAACGGAGGAGGAGGAAATGGGTGTGTTGGGGATGTGTGATCTTGATTGTAATAGCAATTGGGTTATTAATCCTAATACTGAGTCTCACTGTTTTCAAGCCAAAACGTCCGACCACCACCGTCAACTCCGTCTCCCTCCGTGATTTCCGACTCTCCATCGACGTTCTCCGTCTCAGTGTCCTTTTGAACGTGAGTGTGGACGCCAACATCGCTGTTCACAACCCCAATAAGGTAAGCTTCTACTACGACAAATCTTCAGCTTTACTCAAATACAGAGGAACAGAAGTGGGTGAAGTTCCCCTCGCGGCAGGCAAGGTTGGATCAGGTCAGACAGTTCCCATGAATATTACACTGACCCTTATGGCTGATCGGTTCTTATCCGACCCCAGCCTCTTTTCCGACGTCCGGTCCGGGACTTTGGTTCTCAATACTTATACCAGAATCACCGGCTATGTGAAGATCATCTTCAAGATTCACATAGTTTCCTACAGTGAATGCGACTTGTACCTAGATGTCTCCTCTAGGAGGCTCACACACCAAACTTGTCGTTACCGGACCAAATTGTAGTGTATTTTTAGGTTCTGTCACTTAGCTCAATCCCTGCTACTGCTACCACTAGATTTTTTTGGTTTCTTTCTTCTGTTGTAAAGAGTACTGATGTTATTCTACTACTGTATTGGCATAATGATTTATATATTAAACATTGATCTAGTATTCAGTTCACTCATTCAGGCTTATTGTTGATGATGAAATGCATGAAAGTTTTCTAAATTTACTTATTAGTTTTCCAACCAGATATTTGGATGTTCTTTGGAGATCAGTAGTTGTTTTGCTAAAAGGGCCTCAAGTATTGAAGAGAACAGAGTAAACCATCCCATATTATATTTTCAGCTTCTTTGTAAAAGACAAGGTCAAGCAAAGGGGAATTTAGACGGCAATCTTGTAGTAAGACAGATTGCTTGACTCAAACAAATGAACCAAAGGAGTTTCCTTAATGAGAAACTGAACTTTCTGTTGAAGGAAATACCAAAACAGACTAAACAAAATCAATAGCTACGTGATTTAATAAGAAAGGAAGAATCATTTTTCATCTTTTGACAGATCATATAGCTAGGTAATAATAACTATAAGTAATTCAGACTAACTCGAATGCAGGTTCTTCAACAAAAAATGGAATAACTCCTAACAACCAAAAAGTTAGAAGTAAATTGTGTCAAGCGAATACACACGCGAGAAGAAAGGATTTTTGTGGAGAGCAGGTAGCAGAGAGTCAGAAACAGCTAGTTAATAGTAGAAGATGTAACTTTCAAACTTCCTATTACACCTTCAAGCTTTTTTGTATCTAAAAGTGCCAACGAACATGGAACAAGTTTTTGACTGTTAATTAATAGAAAGGTGATCAAATTATATTTTGAAGCCGTACGAGCATAACAGAAGGGTCAGTGATTTGAGAAGCAGTCATATAGATGTTGATAAAAATTGACAGAAAAAGAATTGTGTACAAGCTCTAAGGAAATTACCATCTTCAAGATGACTTCAACTGCACCCTTGCCCTCACCAAGAGCCCCATCAATTTCGTCAATTACCTATAACAAAAGAACAAGTTTGAAAACTACGGCACAAAATAATGGAAACAAGATGCAGCAAACAAATTTCAGAAATGACAAGCGGAATATCAAAAACCAACCAAACACTTTGGCTTTGAATCCGCTACGACAGAATTCATCTGAACAGCATCAAGAATTTTGGCTTCTACTGTTGATGAGGATCTATCATCACTAGCATTTATCTGCAATAAAAATCACAACCATTATGACCATCTAAAAAAGTTGTCCTTTTGCGCAAATTTCATTTACCAGAAATAATTTTCTGAATCAGCAGACATGAACAAATGGGCTCTGTGTAAACAACTTTATGGAGTTAGACTGTAAAGGCATAGAGATAATTAATAAAAGACCAAGCAGATAGAAATGGTAAACCAGAATCTTCCAGTTAGCCAAGAATGAAAAGGCCATTTGTTGGCTACTTTTTACCTTGCAGACTTATATGTGCAGAGCACATTAAGGTGTGTACAATTTTTCTAGAACAACCTTTTGGGCATTAGGATATCCAATGACGGAAAGTAGAAGTGGCATACGCGAAGAATGGTGATAGAAACATGAAATGCAAGGTGAAAGTATATTAAAGAAGACAATCATGAATTCCCATGACTCATCAGCAAATGAATATTTGACCAAATGGAAGAACATAATAATGGTACAGCTTGAAGCATATTAAATGCAAATTCTGAAGCTTGTAACTGCACTAGTGAGCCATTCTGATGTATCGATGCTAGCAAAATGATAAAATATTAACAAGGAGATTAAGATCTCCTGATCAACCAAATAAGATTCTAATGTTCAAAGAGCTTATGGGTATAACCATAAGTTACGCACCTCCACTACCCGATATCCACAATGCCTAGCAGCTACATGTGCCAGGGTAGTTTTCCCCAATCCAGGAGGACCACAAAGTAAGAGAATCTGAAAGACTCAAGCATATTTAATATAGATTAGTTAGAAATATATAAACAAAGAGTATAGAATTCAAATGAGCGCAAAAAGGAGAATAGGAAAGGAAAGCCAATAAAAAAGAGCAATGTTGGAAAAAGTATTTCAAATAAGTCCAATAAAATGGAAGGTGTGTGCAAGTGGCGGATTACTTTGTAATCAATCAAAAACAAACGGATGCAAATTAGATGCTACGACTGAAAGTTGACGATGTAAATACATAACCAGTATTCAACTTAAGTCAAATGACACGATAAAGAAAAATAAGCATACTGCAAAATAACAAATAGTGAAACCATGAATTGGGCTTTAATCTTCAGGTTAATCTATTGTCATACAAATTATTGTGGCTTGTCATCTTGTACTAACAGATCAAAGGATACCAGACCTTTCATAGAGCTAAAATCCTCAATAACACATATCATCATAAAGAGATGAGAAAACTGAAACATGTCATTTGAAAAGTCTTAGGATAAACCTTTTGTTCGGGTGGACCAGATTGTTTACGCTTTTTGTCCCACAATTCCTGAATATCTTTTGAGCCCTTGTTTTCCTGATTCTGATGGTTGATATCTCTAAAATTGTCTTTGCTCCATCTCCCCTCCCTCGGCTTTCCGAAAGAATTCCTCGAGAATGACTTTGAATGTTGGACAACAGAAGAATGCCGTTTCAAAGCAGACAGAATATCATCTGCTGTACTCTTTATTTCGGATCCAAAAACACATGAATCCCATTGTTTTAACCAGAGTAACACCTGCAGCCCAAACGACAGAGTTCAGGTCCTGTCCAGAACCAACAACATGAATCCCATTCTAAACGTTAATGAATAACAGAAGCTACATACCTCACGATTTGTGTGCTCGTCACTGAGAAGCTCCATAAATGTGCTTGGGGCATATTTGTCCACCCAGAGTTGCTCTTGAGCCACAGGTTCTGCTAAAGCATTTACATCATTTTCACATTCAGTGCTGGCTTGCAAAGCCTACACGAATAAAAAAAGAAGGGGTGAGTCAGTAAATCCATTTTTGAAGAAGGATGTCAAGAAAACAAACTAGCCTTCATAAATATATGAAAAGTCAGGGACTGCAAATGTGGAAGTATTCCAAAAAACAAAGTTTCAGTAAAATTGAAGAAGAATAAGCCTATAAGGTGCAACAGAATTTCTCCATACAAGCTGAGCAGCAGAATGTTATTATTAATCCGTAAAAATTTCAATCAAGGGCAAACCAAGCCTTTCATATGAAGAAATTGAGAAAAGTGATATGTAAAATGAAACATGTTTTGAACACTCAATACATCACCAGACTTTCATATCTATTTATCTATCAGATCAGGGAAATGAGGGTGACAGAAAAATTACATTTTACTAATTTTTGTGGGTAATAAAATAAAGTTAACATATGTGGTTTACCTGTTTCTTTCTGTTCAATTTTCAGCTCGTTAATTTTTAATTATTCAAATTCATGTAAACATATCTTTTTAGCTTGCACATGCTGATGCATAACAGCCCAAAACAAAAGCTTACCTTTGAGAATTCAAGATGCTCCACTCTTTCCATCATGTCTCTGATCCGTTCTCGAGAAAGACCTGTAAAGTAGGTGGGAATACAATATTTAGCAAACTGCAGAAATTCGAGGGGAATGGATTAAAATCAAGAATACCATAATGCAAAAATCAGCAACACATTACAGGTCCTTTCAAACCACTTACAAAATCATAGATGTGAAAATGTGCACAACAAATCAAGACAAGCTGAATGGCAAAAATTAAAAGCGCCCTAGACTATCTTGCTTGGAGACCTCATAAAGAAAACATATGTAGAACAGCCAGACTCTTACGCGCGAATCACACGAAGTTTCTAATAATAATCTAATTTCTGAAGCAAGATAACATAAAGGTCCACAGTTGCAAGAAAATCATTACAAAAATCCAAGGAAAGCAGGAATCTCAACTCCAAAAGATAGGAGCCATGTAACCCCGTCAAGTAAAAAAAAAAAACTACCATGCTTGTTTTTCATAATCCGCACTGGTCAAAATGTTCAGCGATTATTGTTTTCTTCTGCAAACTGTAACTTCTGACCAATTTCTATGTTCTTTCAAAATGCAGAATAGCAATAAAGGTAAAGTTGGCCTTTTCATACCCATATGATACCCTGTCGACTTATCTGCTTTTGTAAATGCAAAGGGCAAATGAACTGGATTCTAAACTTTGAAACATTAAGGAAAGACATGCAATAATGGAAGTTATTGCTCGTCAAACTCTCCTGACAGCTTCCGTTAACAACCCATTATTTACCAAGTAAACAAATAAGACTTAGATGAAGAAATGACCATCTTTTTCATTCCATCGGTATGCCACTGAAAGCACCACAGAAAAAGAAGCCCCGAAAGGGTCTCAGTTAATTTATTAGTAATGCTTCAAAGTTGACATAAAGTGAAATATATTTCCAAGTTAAGCAGCAGAAACTCCCATTCTGATATATGAAAGAAGGCCATGTATGCTTATTGACTATAAAGCTCTTCTGAAACAAGCGGAACCTAAATTTCTATCCTTGAGCCTTGATTCATTTTTTCACTAAACAAATTTTCTTATCATTAGTCCACTTCTCTGGAATCTGAATCTGCCAAGTGGATAAATAAGGCCACGACAAAGCACTAGCCTCACATAAGTCAATTTGCTCAGTTTATCACATCTTTCGGATTATGCACAGACCTCGCAAAAACCAAAGCTTGGACTCAATAAATCATTCGCAATCAACAAACAAACTACTAGTTCCTGACCACTAATTTGGCTTTTTTTCAACTACAAAGACAATTCTTTAATTTATTTTTCTTCTTAATCAAATATCCAAAAAAGGACAGGCAGAAAATCACAAGATTGTTCCTTTCTACAGTTGTAGGATAAAACAGACCCAAAAATCATCCTCTACTAGTTGCATGAGGTTAAGAAATGCAAAGTTTAAGTTCTTAATATATTAAAAAGAAACAGGAACCAAAATTCAGAAGATTTAAGCCACATTAAACTGAATTCCAAAATTCAGTTGCAGTTGCAGTACCCTCTCTGAGCTGTAACCTAATGGATGAAACTAGAACTTCAAAATTCTTAAGTAATGTACAACAGACATAGCATCCTAATGAATCAAAGAACAGAAGTACAAAACTCCAAAGCAACTAGTTTCATTTTAAAGGGCACATCGGGGCACACATGAATGTCATCTGTTGTTGTTTCCTAATATCAGACACTGACTTTCATCTTATAATTTTTTCATAAAACAAATAAATAATAACCACACAGTAAACTCGTAAGACAAAGGAGCTAACATGTTCAGTAATATAACCCAAAAAGCAATTTGAATTTTAATAAACTGGAATGTGAAACTAACCCTCAAAATCACCCCTCAGATCCAACTTCTTCATACTTTCCACGTTCTCCGCTCTACAGAACTTAGCATAAATCCTCTCCCCATCCAAACCCGTCACCGGCACACAATCCCCGTCGATTTCTGACATGTACCTCGACAAATACCTCTCTTGTACCTCCTCCTCAGCAGCCATTTCCACGTCAGCATCCCCATTTCCCGCCAATGGTGGGGAATATCTCAGCCATTCCTCATCCTCCTCGGCAGCATCACCACCATCCTCAGCACCACTTTCCCTCTTTCCGCCATTTTCGCTGTCCCCGTTCTCAACCTTGCTCCTCTTCTCCTCGGCGGCAGAACCCGATTCTTTCGGGTCGATCAATTCCGGACCCGCATCAACCCGGAAACGCTTTTTAGCATTCCCTTGGGGTTTAGAAATGGAGGGTTTCGGTGGGAGTGATAAAGTGGGTTTCACAGAGATGGGTATTGGTTCAGGATTGGACTTTTCAGCAATTGGTTCTGGCGATTCCGGTGGTTCGGGTTCTGATTGCGGGGAAGGAGGCAATTGGTAATCGAGATCGTCGTCTTGGAAGTTGGAATGGTGGGATTCGAGCCATTCAAGCTCTTCTGGGTCTGGAAAATCCATATCCACTGATCTGTTGACTGCTGCTACTGTGTGACTGTGTGTGTGTGTGTGTGTTTGTTTCTGGATTCAGGAAAGAGGAGAGTAAGGGGGAAAAAGGGGGCGCGAATACATTTTGGCGGGAAATGTATAAGAAAGTACGAAATTACCCTTTTGATTTACTACATAAAATGACTGATTATTTGAATTTGTTTTTTTGTTCTAGGATTCCATTCATTTGATGTATTTGTTTCATGGGTACATTTTCCCTTGCTACAAACCATGAAAGTATTGAATATTTTAAAATTTGCTTCTTCTTTTTTTTGAATTAGTGAAAAAACTAGTATTCTTTTCGTGATAAAAGAAAATGTAGAAAACAAATTATTTAATTATGTTTCGTACTGTTACTGCATTTTGGATAAGAAAGTAAACCTGTAAAGAATGAATTGACATACATAATGTGATTCTAATTTATGTGATATACTAATGTCGCCTTAAACAACACAACTCCTAGTTTTTCATATATATAAAAGTTAAAAAAAATTTGGAAAAAAGTTAAAAATAAATAAATAAATAAAAGTTAAAATATGAATTGCCTTTTGATAATTTATAAATTACAAGGCACCTAGGTGGAAATAGTGTTTCCTTTTCATTCATTGCAATTCTCATTTCCTTTCCAATGTTATACTACTATTTTGCAACTCCTGGTAGAATGCGCTACTCAAAAGATAGTCATGTCTAAAAACCTAGACATATTTGAGAAATATGGTATTAAATAATATAATCCCGTCGACTGAATGGTATAGGTAAAATTTTAAAGGTTAATCTGATTCGGTATATTGACGGAAGTAATTTTTATTTTTTTTTGTTTTTTTTTTGGGGGAGGCTACTTAAGGTATTACTTGGGAGAAAAGGTGTTACTTGAACCAAAGCCCTCTTTTTTCTCTACCAACACAACATTAAACAAGAAGAGTCGGTCGGTGGCGTTAGCGTAGAACATCGATTAATACACTTAGCGCCGGAGTTTCTTCCGCCCTTCTCCGCCGTGTGAACTTAGGGCTCCGATTGGATCACCGGAATTCGACCACCACTTTCACCTCCTTCAATTCCTGTTGTAGCGCGGGAAATTCAGGTATATTCTTCTGCTACTAATAGTACAAGCGAAGTAACAGAGGAATTTGTTTGGTTTCTTTAGAATTTGAGTTGGATTTGTGTTTAGATTCCGATGTGTTCTATTAAATGATTGAATCGTGCCGATATAATGTTATCTAAGACCGTCTTTTTCTGTGATCGTCTTTCTCTGTACAATTTGGCTATTGGAAATTTGGAAAGCATCCCAGAATTGTAGTTTGTCCGTTTTGAAACTTTTGCCTGCTTTTTGAATTATGAGTATACCAAAAGCCATTGCTGCTTTTTTAATTTTGCCCCTTTCCCCAATTCGGTAATCGGGGTCTTAATTAATCCCTCTGTCCCAAAAGAAAAAAAATAGTCTATATCGAGTTTTAAAGTTTCAAATTTTGGACAGAGGAGTATGGGATAATAGAGTATCAAACTGTTATTCAAATTTTGGACAGAGGAGTATGGGATAATAGAGTATCAAACTGTTATCTTTTTCTTTTTGGATTGGAAAATACAGTTTCATGATTGCTAATGTATTACTGGGAACTGGCTCATTGATCAGCCTTTTGCGAGTGAAAATACACTTGTCAGAAGTTGTTACTTTCTAGTTAATAAAAAAACAATTGTACGCATGCCACTTTCTAGTTAGACACAAGCAGTTCTCTTTTAAAGCATCCACTAATTTCTTCTTTGAATACTTTATGAAATTATCTCAAAAAGAAGCAAACCATGCTTTTGCTGGCCTGTGGACTTGTACATTAGGCAGAAAGGGCTAATTAGTTATCTGTTTTCAAAGCTTAGTTCCCAACCCATCTGCCTTGTCCAAATGTTTTTCCTATTTAAAAGTTTCTCTGTTTTTTCTTTCTTAAAGAGAAGCTATTTTCTTTTGTTCCTTCAGTTTGTCTAGATGCTTTGATGCATTGGTAAAACCTGAACCTTTGAAATAAGATGTTTCTCTTGTGCGATGATCTTGCTCATCTTGGCATTTGCGTAAAATTCTCCAATGCGTGAGATTCTTCTATATGAACTACCGTCTCATGTTCTTGGCAGGAGGAGATGGGCCGTCAAGCAGCTGCTTCGTCTCATAAGCGGAAACAACCAGAGCCGATCAGTGCTGTTGTTGGTCCTGATCGTTATGTCTTGGACGCGATAAAGAAGGCTGAAGATAAGGGCACTTGGAAGAAAGCAATCGTATCATCTAACAAAAACCTCACAGAATATGTTGTTCAAAAATCCCTGAACTCACTTCTGAGTAAGAGGTTAATCAAAGAGGTTATGAACATCCAAAATAAGAGGACAAAACTTTTCATGGCAGCTGAATTTGAACCATCAAAGGAAGTTAGTGGTGGTTTTTGGTATGATAATGGAAAACTAGATAAAGAGTGCATTGAAGGACTTAAACGCGCCTGCTTGAAGTTCATTGTGTCGAAGGAGGTTGCAACGGTTGAGGTAATATATGAACTTCTGAAGCGGAGCAAGGTTATCACATCTGAGTGCACAAAAGAACAGATTGAAGAAATTTTAAAGTATATGCTACTGGACAATGAGATCATTGAGGTCGAAAGCACAGGCTTGGGAGAATACCATTTGTTCCCTGTTGGGACGCTATGTTACAGGCTTGCAAAGGGTCGTAAAACCAGTGCAATGGCTTCAAATCCATGTGGTATGTGCCCCAAAATTAGTCAGTGCACACCAGATGGACGAATCTCCCCTGCAACTTGTGTGTACTATAAGAAATGGATGGATATATTTTGAATTTAAGGACCTAAGTTCCTGAGTTTTCTTGCAATTTGGTGATATCAAATTAACTATGAATGCATTTAGTGCAACTAATTCTGACATGTTGGTTTTACTGGTTTATATCCCCTTGGGGAGATGATCACTTGGTCAATTTTGGTGTGTGAAACAAGGTGCCAGATTAGCCTAGCCAACAAATTTTCCCAGAGTTCTAATTTTGGGGTTCTATAAAACTGTTAGGAGAATGACCCTTTTAGACTATATGTATCGAAATAGGTTGGAGATGTTGTCAGATTAAAGCCTTGTGTATATATAGATACAGTAGGCTGGAGACTCTTGAATTTAACTTTGGATTCATGATCTTAGCTTAATGAGATGAACTCAAAGCAGATTTCAGATGCTTGAAAGTCGAGTTTAGCTCATCGTAACCTGCTGAAACAACAGCTATCCATCATTTCTATATTGTCTATGAAGAAATCTTATCTGTAATCTTTTTTGCGATAACGTTTTTGTGTAAATAATATTATCGATCTTTTATTATTCTTTCCGTCCTGAAATTTTTATCCAGTTTGAATTTTTATTTTTTGTATAAACTAAATTGAAAGTGAAAACTCAAACTGGACAATAATTTTAGGACAGAGTGAATATATGATATGTATAGCGGATTACATGAACCATATGGCGGTCAATTTCTTGCATGGGATACTCAAAATTGTTAAAATAGTTAGTAATAGGCAAATGTCTTTGCTTCATCTCTCCCCAAATTTAAGGATAAAACAAAGAAAAAGACTCTTTCCTCATTTTATTTATCCTTCTTTCTCTCTAATCCAACCATTTACTTCTCTCTTTACCCAAAACTTACATTTCCATTTCCTCTTCAACTTTTACCATTTTTTTCCCCTCTCATCTTTGCTAGATTATGCAATGAGGGTTTTTGTTGTAGATTAGAAAAAACTTGTATATAAATTTGATATTAGAAGAATATTAAATATAATTTAGGGGGAAAATGGGACAACAAACGTTGATCTACAGCTTTGTGGCAAGAGGAACTGTGATATTAGCAGAATATACAGAATTTACAGGCAATTTCACCACCATTGCTGCTCAATGCCTTCAAAAGCTCCCTGCTTCCAATAACAAATTCACCTACAATTGTGATGGCCATACCTTCAATTACCATGTTGACAATGGATTCAGTAAGGGCCAATAACTCAATTTCCTCCTACATTTTTCATTCATTACATTTGCTTCTTTTTTATTCCTTTTTTTTAGGCATGTAAGAAGATATAAAATTTTATGGCTTATTCAACAGATAAAGCTAAATTTAAATTCGTTACAAGAAATTTCTTTTATCTTTAAGATTATCGTAAGAAATTTCTCGGGAATGGAGAGAAGTTCTTGATTTTTGTAATTGTCTTTTGGATACAGATCATATGAAACTATTTACTATGAAAGAATTACACACACAAATCGAGAAATGATCTTAATATAACCTTGAATTGTAATAGTGTAAACATCAAGGGATTTATATCTTCACGATAAATATTATAGAATGTTAGGTGCATTATGATGGTGTAACACTTTTGTTAAATGTGCCTGATCGAAATAATGTGAACAATAATAGGATTGAACCTTTTGTGCTTCATTATTAGTGAGTCATTTAAAAACATGAATTCCTTCTTTATCTTTTTTTTTTTTTTTTTTGTTATGTATGTCCAAGAGGTAATAACATAGATCGCAAAGAAAGGATTACAAGACGAGCTTATCAATAACTAGACGTTTGAGTTAATTAACCAACCAGCCGGTTGACTTATTACAACATTATGTTATACATTAGCTTATCGTTTAAGCAACGAATTATTAAACTGTTGTTCGTGCATTGATACTGTCAAAACGAAAAAATGCAGCATACTGCGTGGTTGCAGCCGAAGCTGCAGGTAGACAACTTCCAATTGCATTCTTAGAAAGAGTCAAGGAGGACTTCAACAAAAGATATGGTGGTGGAAAAGCAGCAACCGCTAATGCTAAGGGCCTTAACAAAGAATTTGGGTAGGTTTTCTCTTTTCCCTCTCCTTTTCGGCTTTATGAATTGGTTTCAATCAAGCATCAAGATTTTAAATAAAGTTTCAGACAGCATCCTCTTAACTTGGTATCCAAATCCGCTTTTAGTCATACTCCCTCGTACGAACCTTAATATAAGTCATTTTGGTTTGTCATATGTTTCACATAATAAGTATTTTTAATTGAAAAAAACTTTCAAAATATATTTTCACATTCTTGATTGGTATGAAATACTCCCTCCGGTCCTTAATATAAGGTATTTTGATTAGTCCTAGGTTTAGCTAATACTCATTTTTAATTGACAAAAAAAGTTTAAAAATATTTCATAACAACCAAGAGATCACAACGAATATAAAAACATATGTTTAAAGTTTTTTAGGCCAAATAAAAATACGTGCTAAGTAAAATCTAAGATAAATTAAAATGTCTTATATTAACGACTGGAGGGAGTATTTTGAAAGTTTTTGTGTCAGTTAAAAATGCATACTAGATGACATATAGGACAAATCAAAATATCTTATATTAAGTACAAGAAGAAATAACAATTAGTCGGTTACCAATAAGTTAAAATGGTCAAAACCAATTTGATGCTTCAGTCTGAGTCACTCAAGTGACTAAAAAATATTAGTTTATAATAGTTTTGATCGATTTGGTGACTTGATTATCCTTATGTAAAATGGTTTCTTAAAATTTGAGGATTATTGATGATGATATTTGTTTCATGTTTAGTTTTCTTTGTATCAATTTTGTTATACATCTTCATACATTTTAGGCCTAAACTAAAAGAACACATGAAATATTGTGTGGAGCATCCAGAAGAAATCAACAGGCTTGCAAAGGTTAAAGCTCAAGTTTCTGAAGTCAAAGGAGTGATGATGGAAAACATTGAGAAGGTAATTAAGGCAGCTTATAGCTTCCAACTTAATAAGTAAGCAATAAGTTCTTGGCTAAACCTTAACATTTTTGTCATTTATCGATATTTAATTATTACATAGTAATAATAATAATACGCTGAGTTAAAATAATTATGTATATCCGTCTTTGTTTTTTTTACTGATTTTACTGAGTAATTTTACCAATGTTCAGGTACTTGACCGAGGCGAGAAGATTGAGTTACTAGTTGATAAAACTGAGAATCTTCGATCTCAGGTTAGTCCAATTAAAAGACGCTCTTTTATTTTCTATTCTTTTTTTATTGAATTGCAACATTTCTATAGAGTGATGACATTTTTCAATAATAACATACTCATTTCATCGTAATACAGAAATAAAGTTTATTGAAAAAACATAGTAAAACAACGCAACTTGTATTTGGGATGAAAGGAGTAGTGAAATAGCACAAAAAAAAAAGAAAAGAAAAGAAAATAGTGTAACAAGATTGAAGACACCGAGTTCAGCTCGCCACGTGTTATTGATCGACCGGGAATAATATAGAAATCGGCGCTGACCCAATGAACTACACCTTTATGTATTGTAAATACTAGTTACATTTGAGCTTGTAAAAATCAAGTTAGCTTGGATCTAGACTCGAGAAATTATTCATTTTAATCACTAAGTTGTCATTTGATTCTCTACTTACATGTGTTCTTTTTGATATGTTTGTTTGAAATGTTTTCAGGCTCAAGATTTTAGGACTCAAGGGACTAAAATGAAAAGGAAGATGTGGATTCAGAATATGAAGATAAAACTCATAGCATTTGGCATCGTTTTTGTTATTATTCTAATCATTGTTTTAACCATCTGCCCTCGTTTCCAATGTTGAACATGTCTTGGACATGATATCCTTTTTCTTTTCCTTTCATTTTTTTTTTTTTTTTTTTTTGGGTCATTGATACATTTCTTAGAATTAGATTATATTTGTTTTGTAATTATAAAACGTTTCCGAAGCTACTTAATTCCTATGGCTCCGTGAGTTAGAATTTCATTTGTACTACTTATCAATTCGAGGCAACAATATTAATGTAGTAACATATAGATATATATACCTTCTTGATCAAAATTATGGAACATTAGAATTATTATTCTCCCTCTATTCCAAAATTATTGTCTAGTTTGAGATTATATTTTTAATACAGTTTAAACTAAAACTGAAATATTGCAAATTAAGAGGTAAGAGAGAAAGTAATGCTCACTCCTTTAAGGAGATTAGAATCCCATTTTTATGGTCAATACTCTTTTCTGCATATTCATCCATATAAAATCACTAAATCAATCCCAGCGTCAATCAATTTCTTTAATCCAGCCTCTTAAATTTTTCCAAGTATTTCAAAATATTCAAAGGAATTTCTTAGTGGGGAACAGAGATTCTTCGGAAAAAATATATCTCCCGACGCATGCAATACAAAACTGGAAAAAGTATATATCTCCCTTCTTCGGAAAGTGTCTTCTTCCTCCCTTGAAATCATCAGACCTTTGTAAACCACAATTCATCCCTTTCCTCTCACCAGAAACCAAATCCAATGATTATTCAGTTTTCAAGATTCTCTAGATTTTTATTTGGTTGATGATAGAAACTTTCAGTATTCAACGCATGCAAAACCATCTGACTATTCATTGGGGATGTTATGGTCACATCCGTCATAGTGATCGGAATTTCTTCGTGATTGAATTCATTGACAGGGATGATATGCTTAATGTCTTGCATAATGGTCCCTATGCAGTGGATGGTGGCGTTGGGATTCCACCTTCTCTGTCAGCTGGATTCGGATTACTAAAATCATGCTTTGGATGCGGCTTCACAATGTCCCCATCGATTGCTTTAAACCTGATGGTGTCAATATTTTAGCAGCCATGGCAGGTGAGGTTTAAAAGGTTATGGATGATCCGCATTCACTTCAACAAACGACATATATTCGGGCTAAGGTATGGGTTAAACCGCATGAACCTCTGAATCCTGGTTTCTATGGTACTACTGATCTAGAACAGCGTATATGGATTGAATGCCGCTATGAGAGAATCCACAAGTTCTGTGTTCGGGGTGGGCGATTGGGTTATCCATTCACAAGATGCCCAATTATCTCAGATGCAGACCTAGATGCTTTTCTGGATTGGTATTTTTTCAACAAGGCAGCTAGAAACGGACGTCCTCTTCTCAAGGATGAACATCAGAAATTGTTCAAAGAAGAGATACGCGCTCATGCCCGTAAGAATTCAAAACGCTCCTCTATTATCTTTGATGCTAAGCGGGCTTACTACACTCAGATTGATGAAACTACAATTAAGAATGGTTTTGAGATTGCTATGTTACTTGAGCATGAACTTGAACAAGTTCCTAACCAATATTTTGGTCTACATAATAATAATAACGACAATAACAACAGTGAGGATAGCATGCATGATGATCAGGACATGGATCCAGCAATACCTAATGGGGGCTCATCTGCCTAATGGTCATCTTGATCAGATATCACATCAGAATGGTTTTCATATCCCTTCTCATGCGCCTTCCCCTGTCAATAGTAATGGATCTGATCCTCCAAATGGTTATGGCTCGATTCAGCTGGATTTAAGTCACATGCCGGTCGACCCTTCGCTTGCACAAAATGAATTGAAGGTCAATGATCCGCAGGAGGATTTATTCTCTAATGTCCGTATGGTCACACAGGGAAATCAGAAAACTCCTCCCCCAATTCAGAATACCACTATTCATCTCCTGAGTCACCACCGTCCAATTCCTCTCAAATTCAGGTGGTTCCTTCTCATGTTCTTCCTGTTTTACTTAATTCTTCTACTGATGTGTTCATAGGAATTGGGGCCAACGATGAAGTTCTGTTCCGGGACAACAATGATGATCCTATAATCAATAAGGAGGGTCTGATTCAAGATGGAAACAGAGATCCAACTAATCCCGGAATATACTCTATCTCGGGAAGCTCTTCATCCGATGAGTCCGTTGGGTCTCCTGAACCCTATAATGTGATTCAATTCCCTCTGAATATTCAACCTTGGGAGCAAGGCTCTACTTCTAATCCTATACAACAGGCTTTCTACAGTAGAGAAGGGGCCCTTCATACTCAACGTCTTACTACTCAATATTTCGACTGGCTTAAAGAGATTGGTCATGATACTAATATGATGGAACGTCACTCAATAATGTGGGATTGGCAGTTGATGCGGGAAAGGAAATTACAGAATGGAGCCCCTTTGTTCGATGTTGGGATTAATCTTCTTACTTCTGCTGATAATTTCGAATGTCCAACTGCTTCTGTTTCCCAGCCATTACGTCCTCCCCTCCTTGGTTTGGGGCCTCAGATCTTTGCATTACTCTCAGATGATGAAAGTTCCAATACTCTAGCTAATTCTCGTGCAGTCCCCTCTATTCAGTAGGTTGTTTCTACTAAGCACATTCGATCAGCTTCTGTCAGGCTACTCAGAAAACTCAGAGGTTCTGGTTCACCGTGACGAATCACCACTCAGACAAACGCTGCTGCTCATCTTACTCTACCGGGACAGAAACGTAAGCTTTCTCAACTTCCTAATTGGTCATCAACCAAAAGACTCAGACTTCTTGCTCAGTCGCCTCTCACTCCAACGATTTTGCCAGTGATTGTACCAAAACAATCACTGCAAGCACAATGAAAGTCCTTTCCTGGAATTGTAGAGGTCTTAGCAAGACCTCTACTTCTCAAAGGTTGCTACGCTTACTACGTCAATATCGGCCGGAGATTCTTTTCTTGATGAAAACACTGGTAGATGATGACAAGGTTAGCCGTTGGCAACAAAACACTTCTTTTGTCAATTCTAAAATTATAAGTCCGGTAGGTAGAAGCGGTGGCTTAACACTGTTTTGAAAAAACAATGTAAATATGTCTGTATTATGTTCTACTTCCAAATTCCTAGTTTGCAAGTTTGTAGAACCATGGGGATTAGAATGGCTGGGTATCTTTTTGTATGGCCATCCCCATCAGCACGGTCGTCCTTTTGTTTGGCGTCAACTTAACGATGCTTTAGTAAATTTTCATTACCCTGTGGTGTTGATTGGTGACTTTAATCAAGTAATTAACCAAGAGGATAAATGTGGTGCTGTAGTACCAACATCAGACTTCAATTTGTTAATGGATGTGATTCGCAAACATTCCCTAGCTGAACTTAGACACTTAGGATGTTGGTATACGTGGACAAATAATCGGAAGGGAGATGATCATATTTTTGAACGTCTTGACAGAGCTTTTGTAAATCAATAATGGCTTCAGCATTTCCACAAAGCGCATCTTAGAAACCTTCCAATAATGCGGTCTGACCATGGCCCCGTTTTGCTAGAATTGAAAGGTTCTCTTGCTCCTAAGAAAAGGCATCTGAAATTTGAAGCTTTTTGGACAAAATGTGACAAGGTCAAAGAGATTGTAACCTTTGCATGGTCGGAATCAGATTCTTCTAATCTTCACTCTACTAAGGTATTATCTCAGCACCTTCAAGATTGTCTAGATCAAGCTTCCACATGGAGTCATAGAACACATTGTTCGCTGGATAAAAAGATTGGGAAGTTGATGGAAACGCTACAGGAAAACCAACAAAAATGGGAACGAAACCCTCAGGATCAACAAGGAAACTTGGCCTTACAACAAAATAAGTTGGAACTTGAAGAAACCCTACAGTTCCAAGCTGAATATTGGCGCCAAAGAGCCAAGGTCATCTGGCCTACACAGGGCGATCTAAATACTAGTTTCTTTCACAAATGGGCGACTCGAAACAAGGGGAATAAATGGATTACTGAGCTTCAAGATAATAATGATAATTGGTCTTATGATAATGACGGGATCAAACGCATTATTGAAGATCACTTTCAAAACATTTAGGTTCATCCGGATCCGTACCCCCATGATACTGAGGCAGACGTCAACTTAGAGGATGTTTTGTCTACTCTCTGTAATCCACTTACCCCTGATCAAATCTCACAGCTTCAGCAAGATTTCACCGCAGATGATGTTTGGAAAGCCATAAAAGGTATGTCTCCTTGGAAATCCCCGGGTCCATACGGAATTCCTGCAGGATTCTATCAACATTACTGGCCACAAATTAGGTCTACAGTAGTAGACAGTGTTCTTACGATTTTCCAACAACAACAAATGCCGGAGGACTGGAATCACACCAATATTGTTCTCATTCCCAAACTTCCAATTCCGAAGAAGACAGGCGATTTCCGTCCCATTGGCTTATGTAACGTTAAATACAAGATTGTCACTAAGATGGTTACTAATCGTCTCAAATGGGTGATGCATTCTCTCATTGATGAGCGACAGAATTGTTTCGTGTCCGGACATAATATATCTGAGAATATCTTGATTGCCCATGAGCTGATACAATACCTCCGGAGAAAGAAGGGTTGCATAGGTGTAGCGGCAATTAAATTAGATATGATTAAAGTATACGATCGGCTTTCCTGGGATTTTCTGGAAGCTGTTCTACACAGGTTGGCTTTTCCGAATCATTTGGTGCTCCTTATCATGAGTTGTGTTCGAACAGTCAGCTTATCCATTCTTTTTTATGGGGAGCACGCTACCTCTTTTCACCCTCAACGTGGTCTTCGTCAAGGTTGTCCTTTATCACCATATTTATTCATATTATGTCAGCAAGTGTTATCTGCTTCCCTCAATCAGGCAGCAACGACGATCCATGGCCTCGGAATAAAACTGGAACGTCAGACACCAATCATCACGCATTTGATGTATGCGGATGACAGTTTTTTCTTTTTGGAAGTCCATCAAGAACCGATTTCGGCGCTTGTGCGCATCCTTCATGTATATGCCAAATTTTCCAGGCAAAGGATTAACTTTGCTAAATTTTCGTTACTAGTCAGTGACAACACTCCGCCTGAATGGAGATATCATCTCAAGAGGTTACTCAAAATTTCGAATGATTTCAGAGGCCAACTGTATCTGGAGATGGACCTTGATTTCACTCAACCAAAAAAGAATCTGTTTGCAGGTTTTGAAAAATAATTTAACTGTCAAATTCGCGGATTGGAAAACTCGTTCTTTATCACTCATGGGGAGAATAACATCAGCAAAATCAACGTTATCCTCCCTGCTCATACATCCCATGTGAGCCTTCAAATTACCGGTTTCTATTCCGCAAAAGACGGATCAGACTATTGCCCGCTTCAGTTGGAAAGGGGATAGAGAAGACAAAGGTATTCATTGGAAATCTTGGGAAAAAATGAGTAATTCAATACATGGTGGTTTAGGTATGCGAACAGCATCATAACTTAATCAGGCTCTTCTTGCCAAACATGCTTGGAAGATTACCTCGCAGCTTCTAGAAGAAGAATTGAAAGGCAGCCATTTAGGGTTTATAGAAGGAAAGCAAGCTCAGTTTTGGGGAAGAATAATTCGAGTACTAGATTCTTTGAAAGGAAATGAATGATTATTATTAATTATGTCTGAAAACATATATATACATACAGCATTTACTCCATTGACTGAGATATAGGAAAAGACAAGAAAGACCTTGTATTAAAACCTATATCTATACAACCATCAAGGGTAAAACCGTAACACAACTACTTATACTAAAATCAGCTTAAACACATTCCTAATCCGGATCAAGCTTCAAGCTTTATGAACCAAAAGAAACATTTTCTACATTCTCTTCACAGCCGTCCGCTCTGTTCTCCAGAATCTTCAAGGGAAAATATTGCCAAGCCAACAACCTTTTGCACATGGATGAAGCGAATAACTCAACCTGGGGTTTTAAGGAGATACCGTGGAGTGTCCAATTATTACGTTCTAAGGTTAAATGGCAGGTAATTTCTGGGAGAGACATTCATCTCCATGATGACTGGATTCTTGATCGAAATAATCCAATTCAGGCGAAGTCCATCATTGCCACTCACTCCAATCTCTGTGTTAAGGATATGATCACACCAACTGGTCATTGGAAAGTCTCCTCTCTTCATAGATTCTTCCCACCGGACCTTGTGCAACGAATTCTTGATATCCACATCAATTCCTCCTCAAATCATCTTTCTGATCGCCTCATCTGGACAGATACTAAGAATGGCATATATTTGGTCAAATTAGGCTATTATCATGCCAGAAATCTGAGAACTGATCATCCCCCTACTGATTCGATACGAGAACAAATAATGTGGAAAAAGCTTTGGTCGCTTGATATTCCCGCCAAACTGAAATTATTTTTGTGGTGGGTTCTAACAACGAGTCGCATTGCTTCCAAGAGGTATTGAATTATCGCCCCTCTGTCCCAGATGTGATCAATTAGAGGAAACCATCTTTCACCTCTTTCTCGATTGTGACATTTCTAAGCAAACATGGTGTGCCATCTCGCCTCAATGTCATCTGGACAATAGGTCTGATCAAAGGTTTGACATATGGTTTCAGAATTGGTTCCTTTCCTCGCCCACTCTTTGTGAAATTTCGCTATTTACCCATACCTTGTGGCGTATTTGGCTGGGCCGAAATCAAAAAGTGTGGCACAATCGGGATTTGCAACCTACCTTGCTTGCGACATTGGCGCAGGAAGAACACTCCTTACACATGAAGCTTTTCCATCGAGGTTTTCACTCTGTCCACACGTAACGCTCTTCACAAGCATTCTCATCAGATGGCACAGACTATTAGGCTACCGTCTTTGTTGATGGCTCCTTTAGAGCAGATTCGCGTCAAGCCAGTGCTGCCTGGAAGCTAGTGTCGTCGTATGGGGTGGTCACGCAGATGAAAGCAGTCTCTATTCGGGTATCCAATACATTGCAAGCTGAGATCCAAGCTTGTAAAATGGCAATCCAGGAAGCTATTTCCAGAGACATCACTACACTCAAGGTTCTTACAGATTGTAGTTCTCTTGAGGGACAGGTCTTGCAGGAATTGGATTTCCCCTTAGATGCACAAGTTCTAATTGGGGAACTAATTCAATTAAAAAATAGTTTGACTAAGTGTCACATTATTAAGGTACCTCGCAGTAGAATTGAAGAAGTCCATAGATTAGCTTATGGTCACTCTCTTTGTAGGCACGATGTTGCTTTGTTTAATTAATGCGATTTGTAGCTTTTTTCCTCAAAAAAAAAAAAAGGCTAACTGAAAATCCAAACTGGACAATAATTATAGGACGGAAGGAGTATATACTGTATGTAACATCGCAAGCTTTCATACATATATATATATATATATTGATATAGAATATGTGATGCTTTTTACGTAACGTAATTAATTACTGCGTTCTACATTTTGAGAATTTAGCTATAAAATCGAGTGTTTGATGGAGGGGGAAAAAAATTGTAGCGTATCATTGCTAAGAATTTTGATATCATGGAAAAAAAGAAGAAGTATAACCGTAATTTTCTTTTATAAATAAAACTGTAAAAGCTCATAAGCCCCTTATTAGTTCCCTGCATTAAGTTCAAATCATCATTTCAATTTGATCGGTCCATCCAAAAACAAAATTTATTCCACATCATTCATGTATATCGGGAAGCGAATTTTATAGCTGATTATTTAACATTTTCGGTAACTCACAGTCCTATAGACCTGCAAAGGTTTGTTATACCGCCATCCGGAGTTAGACCTTGGTTACAACATAATGTTATAGGGATTGCGCCTAGAAATGTTCGAATTTAGGCAATAGCCTCTCTTATTGTAACAAAAAAAAAAATTTATTAATATTTTACTTAGATCTTGCTGGTCCTGAACAGTAAATTTGTAAACAAATGTAATCAACTAATCATCGAGCAGTCAATTATTTTAGTTCATCATTTTAAACCAGCAAGGGCAGCTCAAAGTTATTGGGAGCCTAAGGCAAATTTTGAAATCGAAGATTTTCGATAATAAAGAATTTTTTTTTAAAAAAATATTAACCCTCTTTTTTTTTTTTTAAGGTTTGAGACCGGTAACTATAACTCATGAGCCTATAGCAGATGGAGTAAAAAACTTTTTTTATTCCAAATATGATTCATATTAAGTTTATCTTTCTAGCATTTTTTTTAAAATATTGTTTTTTTATTAAGTTAATTTTTCTAACTATTTTGGTCGCTAATTCTTTTATAAAATGTTCATGATCCATCTCTTCGATTAACTCTTTTTATATTGATATAATAGTCAATCTATTTAATTTGTCTTGTGACATTGTTGATCTTAAATAATTTTTTTGTTAAATTATTTTGAGAAATTCTTTTCTGCCGAAGCAACTGTTGCGTGAATAGTTAATATTATCCTACAGGCAATACAAGAATTTGAAAAAGGATTTATTTCTTTTAATATAATTAAATATGTCAATTGGATTATAATTCTTAGCATTTACATGTTTCTTTAAAATTTTAGATCATAAAATAAATCTAAACCACGAATATCTAAACTATCATTGTGTTTAAGGTATTTTGAAGGTTAAAACAACTCTTTTCTAAATTTTTGTCATCAAGTGATTTTAATTTTTTCAAACTAAATAGAAAACAAAAAAAAATTGTTCATTTTAACTATGTAATAATGAGATAACAAATCAACTTTGTAGTGATGAGATATCTCTATTAACTATGTAAAGAAAATAATCAGTTCTGAAAAAAAATTTTGAGGGGTTCTAATAGTTTCATTCTCCACATTTTCATCAAACTGCGTATTTCTAAGAATTTAACGTTTTTCTTCAAATTTAGGTTTTATGTCCACCTTAACACCAATTTCATGGTTGAAGTAATAGCATTTTCAAACCCATCTTTTCTGTACTTTTCAAAAAAAAGTATTGAGACCTTTTAATTATTCTATAGAATAAAGAAAGTCATATATCAACGTCGAGTAGTCGATTTTTTTTTTAATAATTGGTCAATGTTTATTAATACTAAAATTTTTCAATATATATGTATACATATACAATATATAAATACATATATAGATAAACACACACACACACACATATATACACATGTAATATATACACACATATATATAGATAGATACACACACGGGGGCCCTCCTAATTTTAAGCCCTTAGTCGATGGTCTATTTTGCCTAACGGGAGAGCCGCCCCTGTAAACTAGACACTAATTTAATTTTCTACCGGAACCAATTTTTCTCGATAATTTTACCCCTGACCGCGCATGATTTTACTCAATAATTTCGAATTACAGGTGCTTTCTTCCAGTTTTCACTGCCCTTCATTTTTATCTTTCTTCATTTCGTCTCGCCCAAGTCTGTTCAGATTGATTATCTCCGGCAAGCAAAAAACCAAAGGAAGAATCTGTTGTGTGAACTCGAATCCAGAAAGTAGAGGAAGAAGGTGAAGATTTTGATCTTTTATTTGCAGGTGAGGTTCTCTCTTGTTTTTCCCCTTTGTTTGCGATGTACTGGTTTGCATAGCATGTGTTTGTTAATTTGCCTAGATGGGAACGTTTGAACTAAAATTGATTACCTTAATTTTTTGTAGTTTGTGCCCTGTTGGGGGTTTTTTTGTAGCGCAACTGTGGAATTCTGATTTTTGGTTCATAAATCTGTTTAGTTGTCACTTGGATGTAGTCCTTTTGATACAATTCATACAATTCTTAAGGGGTAAAGCCTTATACTTGAAAAATTTGTGGGTATTAGTTATCCTGTCTGAATAATGATCTGACATTAATCTGGTCTACAATCTACATATTCAATTTAGTTATATGATCACTCACTCACTGATTATTTTGTGCTCAACTATGTGCATTACTTACTAATAAAGAAGTGGAGATGTACTATCCAGTCAGATTTGAACTATAGGGTACTTCTGTATTCATTTGGATAGCATCAGACCTACTAATTATGTCGTCAAATTTAGATAGATTATGTGTATTGTTGGATTTCAATCAATGTTGTCCTTGCAACAGGTATTATATCCTGTTATTCATTAATAAAACCCCACACTGTATTCTCAAATTGATCGTCTCAGTAATTTCGAATACTTGGACCGTTCATTTAATAAGATGAAGAACTTACCGACTGAGCTAACTCTCTTGAACTCGTTAGTGTCTTTAGAGGTTGCAAAGAATTGAAATATGCTGGTTTGGAGATAATTGGAAAAAAGGGGGAAAACAATGTGCATATTCTATCTGAGGTGCTATTGATGTACTAATACATATTTTTTTATTTTTTATTTTTGGCAAATGCTGCCCCTGTACTGACAGGGCGATCAAAAGCCAATCTTTTTAGAATCATTTAATAGTAGACAATTGTAGTTCAGTTGATAGAAGAAGCAGTAGACACATGATCTACTTACAAGAAACTCCAATCTAAAATTCGAATTTACTCTTTAGGAGAATAAATCATTCAAGTCCAACAACACATTTCGATTTTCGTATACATTTTGGTTCAGCGTTTCCAATTATTTGTAAATAAAATATTTGAAACAAATAATCAGCTAAATTCTTCATTTTTCTTAATCTAAGTGCTTCAACTAGCCCGAGTCTAACTGCACGCTGTGCGTTCTCAACTGTAGTTGTAGTAAAAAAAGAAAAAAAGATTTAAGGAAAAAAAAAAAAAGAAAAAGAAACAAAAATCCACGAAGAGAACGTCCGTGCATTCAAGACCCAATCACAGACCAGATTTAAACGAAAAACTCAGCAACAAAGATACTATCTTTAGAGCAGAAATTGAATGGGAAATGAAGGGTAGGATCTAGAAGAGTGGTTGATTATTTTGGAGAGTTAAAACAAAGCCCAAGTTGACAACCCACATCGAATGGGATGCCGATGATATTGAATTCGGAGAATTGAAGCTACAGAATTGGTTCTTTCTGGTGAACGAGACCGTACTCAAGGGGAAGAAGATGAAGGGTATTTCCCCCGGAAGGGTTTATCCACAGAAAAGATAGGCGATTGCTCGTAATCCCTCACCAACGAAAAAACGGTAATCAGATTTGCTTGATCGTCAAACTACTAATTTAGCTAGCTCAAATTTATTTCCAATAAAAAAGGGTCTCGATAGAATGGGAAAATCTTTGTTTTGCGCTAAATATGTGTAGTGTTAATGTATTTTACATTTTTTCAGCTTTAGTCTTTTAGAATGCTTATGCTTGCTTGCTCTGTCTAATATGTGTATTTATGTTTTGTGAAGAATGCAAGATGGTGTGGCCAGCAATAATCATCGGTTTGTTGATTTTAATTTGGGCGGTTTCTTTGGGCAAAATGCACTTTGGTCTCGGGTTAAATTCCAAGGCTGGTTTCCTGAATGATGACAGAAGTAAGCATCCGTTTTCTGTACTGAGTTAGTTCTAACTGAAACAAATTACTGACATTTTTCAATGGGGCATCCAAATTTAAAATAAAGTTGTAAAAATTTACTCTTTCTGTGGTTTCTTCTCAATTTTAGCTGCTGGAGGTCATTCGAAGAAAAATGTCTTGTTGGTTGTGGCACACCCTGATGATGAAACAATGTAAGGCTGAATTAGCATGACTCGAACTCTTTGTAGTTGAAGTTTGCTTTGTTCATATTGTAGTATACATTGATGGGATTGCATCTTTAGTATGCGTATAAAGTATCCTAATGCTACTTAGTTTCATTGCATGAGTACAAGAAAGTTGCTCTACAGCTCAAGTTCCAGTATAACATAAATTTATCTTCAATTGGAAAATTGGCTGAAATTAGCTGAACTTGCTAATAGTGTGTTGATCTGTATGAAAAAAATGGATATGATCCAATATGATTGTAGAATGAAAATCATAATAGCGATGTCTTAATATAAAACTTGTGGAGGCTTTCTGAATTTGATAACTGGTTTTGTTTATTTCAGACATTTTATTCTGGGATGGTGAATTGTCTAAACATCCATGTAGGTTTTTTTCTCCAGCAATCAATTACCTGACTTCAAGGGCGCATAATCTTCACATACTTTGCCTGTCAACTGGTAAATTTACTACTCTCTGTTTGCTAATCAAACTAGATGACCTATTTGAACAGAGAAAAGTATGGTCGTCTATTTTCTTTGACATGTCCTATGCATTACTTTCACGCCAGTACAGTTCGCTTGGTTATGAATTATGATGAGACTAGAAGCATATGATTTTTCACGAAACAAAATTGTTTAGATGTCAAATAGCAGTTCAATGCACTAGTCTTCTTAATCTGAAATAAATTCCTAGTGCTGTTTTTGGCCCGTTCCCTCTTCTTGTTGCAATTCAGAGCTAGCAGATTTAGACAACTTTAATGGCACTGCGTTAGATTTAAGTTTCTCCCCCCATGAGGTTATATTCTATTTATATAGAAGATGATTTTAAATTGTTATGCTCTTAGCTTAATCGTACGAACTTAGTTCATTATGTGATAAATTGCTGTTGCTACTTTGCTTCCTTTTAGGTAATGCTGATGGTATTGGGAATGTGAGGAAAGAAGAGTTGTACCTTGCAGCTGCTGTTTTGAAGGTCCTGTCATGTTTGCATATGTAAACTAATGAATTGTAATATTTCTTTTGGTACTTCAATCAGAGATTTTTTCATGCATAAGGGTTTCCTTTTGATGAAGAGCTATACTATAAACAAAAATAAACATTGTTTCTATGATATAAAAAAGACTTACTTCTAACCGTATCTAATATGACTGGTAGATCCTCTCTTAGGCTTCGGTGTTCTAAGTCAATGACTTATAATTTATGCTGATGCAGATTCCTTGTCAGCACGTGAAGGTTGTGGACCATCCGGATTTGCAGGTAAATTTCTCAAGTGTTGTGGAGGATAATTTGCTCTTTTTTTCCTCTTCTGGTGAATATATGTTTCACTAGAGTTTGCTTGTTGAATGCAGGATGGTTTTGGCAAAGTTTGGACCACTGACCTACTAGTAGCAATTATTGAGCAGGAAATACACTCTAAAGCCATTGATTTGGTAAACTTTGGAAATGCTTAGAGAAAAGCTTATATTTTTTTTGTCATATGAAGGTTTTTCCGTGTTTGTAATTGCTTCTGAATTTTTATGAGTTTGATGATTCGTTATAGTTGATATCTGAAGTTTTTTTGGGTCTTACATAAGGATTCCCATCATGAGTTTTGTTGATTTGGTTTCCATGTTTTTTGCCTTGCCTGTTTGTCAGATAATTACTTTTGATAATTATGGTGTTTCTGGTCATTGCAACCACTGTGATGTCCAACGAGGTGTGCGGTATGTAGATTTTTGCCTTCTTATTCAATGTTACCATCGAAAACTGTTTAACTTCCCTGTGGACAGTTCAAGATTAATCAATGTCTTCGCTTGTTAGCTACTTTTAACTGTAGAAGTTGGAGAACTTTTCTAATGCTTAAAGAAGTACGTCAGCGTAATTGTGGTTCACCATTAGTAGGTTTCTCTGTTTCTTCATGTTCGGGATTTGAGGTCTTCTTTTGGGTTCTAGTGTTCTGCTGCTGATACATTCTATTCACAGAAAGGTAAACATATGTTTGTATAGGATGAAGTAATCGGCAAACTTCAGGATAATAAGAAAATGAACTTCCCTATTGGATATGTATTATTTTCTTTATATCACCCTCGCTTAGCATAGCGTTATCACAGTAAAAGATGATGATATTGTAATATAGAGGAAATATGCAGAAACTGCAGCTGTACCATGTACTCGGCAGTTTTTGGGAAAGCCGAAGAGAGCAGCAATTTTCCTTATGAGACTTATGGTGTAAAGTTAGGCTCTGCATATTCTTCATTTAGAAATTGTCTTTTTAATATTTTTGCGTAATCTAGAACCTAAGGAAGAGTATCAGCATTTGATTTTGAAGTGTGATTTGATGGTTTTGTTCTCTGAATGGCAAATGCCTGTATTTTCTGCTTCTAATTTTTTTCTAAGATATTGTTATGCATATCCTGTGCATTGTTTTTACCTTGATTTTTTTCTGTCAGATGGTAACATGGCATGATCCTCTGAACTAAATTCAGTTTGAATGTCTGATATGCAGCAAGCTTTTGCAAAATACTTCACTGCAAGTTGAAGCCTGGGAACTCGTAAGTGAGAAAAACTATATAATTTTAATAGCAATGCTGCATTGTCAGAGATTGTGCGACTGTTATGTCTCATTTGAAGCTTGGTAGTGTATTAGTACCAATACCTGATAGTTGTCAAAGTTTTTCAACTAAAGGTAGATCCACCTTCTAGGCCGCACTTCACCTCATGGACTCTTTTAGCTGTTTCTAAAACTATGTGCAAACTTGTTAATGGAATTTGACATTTTCATCCTCTCTTTACGACATGAAACTTCTTGGCCAATGGAGTCAAAGTTTGGCCCAGGGGTTAGTCACACCATGTAGTTCCCTGATCTGCTATACCTAGGCTGCTATTTGAAATGTTTTGCTCCATAGTTCATTATGTTGATGTTAATCTACCTTAAGTAAACTACAGGTCCATTTAAGTAGTGTTTGTTGCTAGTTTCGAGGTGTAGTATTTAGATTTAGAATTGCCATGGGGAAATTGAAGGGAGTTATATGTTTCTGACAGTTTCTTTTGAATGGTTTGATTTTCTTGGTGTTGCTGTCCAGCAGAGTTACTATTTTGGTTTCATCTGGCTATATATCTGCAGCTATTCATATAAACCTATTGTTTCTTGGAACTCTATCAGCCTTTTAGACTTATGTGTTAAAGCCATTGAACTCCATAAATTACTGCAATTGAAAGTGGGAAAGATGAAATTAAAAGCTTTCAGGTGCTTTGCAGCCATCTGATTGTACTTTGATGGGAAACATTTATGTGTGTATATTTAAAATCTGATTTTCTTTCATCTTTTGGTTGTATACCTGTACCTCTTCTTTTTTCATGTTTCTCTACCGGAAGAGTATTTAGCTGCCCTGCCCATATCTGTAGACTTTCTACTTAAAAAACTGTGTTTTATTCGTGTTAATAATTAGGTCAGTACTAATATCATGCGGAAGTACAGTGGACCACTAGATATCTGGTTATCCATGCTTTTGGCTGGACGATGTGTGGACGGACAAATGCATTGCGTGCTGAACGAAAGCCCTTATAAGAGCTATCAGGCAATGGCGCAACACAAGAGTCAATGGATATGGTATGTACCCCTCAGTTTTGAAATTTACTGGGATTGAAGGGGTGGAGAAAATGCATATTGTTAACAAAAGGCAGTAATATGTTTAGAGCCTCTCAATATCTATGCATTGTTTCTGTTTCAGGTTTCGGAAGCTTTTTGTATCATTTTCGAGTTACACTTATGTGAACACCCTCAAGAGAATGAAGATATAGGGGGTTGTCATGTTGGTGAAATTACGCTCTGCCAGCGATCTTCCGGAGCTCTGGTTTCTTCTCACTTCCTCAGGCTACAAATCTGGCCAGGAAAGGCTGGGACAATCAATGACCATGAAAAGACATCAACTTTGATGCTGAGGAATTCATTGAAGGGGCTCACCGAAAGCCTTTGGTTTGAGCCAATGGATGGGACTAATTCCAGTAGATACTACTACCGAAATAAAATTAGAGTGGGGCTATAACTATTTTGTTTTTGGGAGAGGAAACAAATTGAACGATAATTGTCCTTTTGTTCTAATTTTGCCATTGCATGTAATAGACAATTGTTTGAAACAGATTTTGAAGTTGTTAAATCAACTAAAGAAGTGAGTTCATTAGCATCAAGAGCAATTTTCACAAAATTATGAAAAGCATGAATAGTAATCAAACACTGCATAGGGGCCTAAACCGTGTAAGAGGAGTTGCTAGTTTTTTTTGTCTGCGAGATTTATCCGATGAGATTTATTATGGATGTGTTTCTTTTTTATTAGACATTAATTTTTTAATGATACTCAAAATAATACTTTATAATTTTGAAATTTTTTTTATAGCTTTGTCCTATAATTTCGATGGTCATACCTATTTTTTTAATGGTAATTCTATATAATTTTATTAGGCATCATGAAATATAATTTTATATAATTCAAATATCTCTTCTTTTTTTTAGGGCAAATTGTATTTTACCATAAATCCACCGTAATGCCATATACCCCTTAACATATTAACATCATCATCAATTTTGTGTATCATTGTCAATTTTGTGTAAATGATCAAAAGTACCCTTAACCCATATTTTTAAATTATATAAATTTAAATATTTTAAAAATATATCATAAATTAATTTTTAAAAAAATTCCATATCAATTCTTTTATATTAATTCACTTAAATAATAATTTTTTGAAATTAACTATATCATGTCTTTATTTAAATCTTCATCATTATTAACTTATTATATAATTAAATGTAAATATGACAAATTAAATCATTTTCATTTTTAGTAGTCAAAAAAAAAAAATTAACCCAAAAAAAAAGAAAGAAAATAAAATTAAGTGTTTGTAAACCATGGTCATTTTAGCCATTTCATTATTTAACCCATTCAGGTGGTTAAATAATGAAATGGCTAAAATGATTTGAATTGAAAATATTACCAAAACTCGAGGTTTATGGTTGATCGGGCGAAAATTTAGGATAAAATATAGTTCGCCCTTTTATATTGGTATAATTCTTGCAATTTTGATAGTCAGAGTTTTGATGGTCATGCATTATATATATATATATATATATATATATATAATATTTTTCCTGTAATGTTCATGCCTTCTTTTTAATGATCTGGATTGACAAATATAGCGTCGAACTCCAATAATGTTGGACAAGTAAGTACTTTTTCTGTTCTTTATTACAAGTTATTTTGTTTTATTCTAAATTTTATTTAGTATATTTTTTAAATTAAAAATAAAATTTTAAAAATGTATTTTTACATTGTGTTCTTCCGATTATTGTAAAATTTTGTAAATATTTTATTGTTAATTGAAAGAACATATTAAATAAACTTCATTTGATTCTAGTTTCTGCTAACGCATTTTTATTTTTATTTTTTCCTATTGCGAATGGTCATTATTAGTTGTTGATGATGAGCAACTCGTGGTAGCCCGTTAGCTAGGAGCAACTAATGCACTAATCTAGCTTAGGCAACAACAATTTATAAGAAGTGTTGCATGCAGAAGATTCAGTCCTACAGAATCTTTGATCAATAATCAACAGCTCCTTCAGGCTCCATATACAGTAGAAAGCTCTTAGGACCTATATTTGTTTTCCCCAAATTAAGCCACTATAGAAGTGTTTGAGCTTCAAAATAAAGGAATATCACCAAATATTCATCTAAAACGAAACATAGGAAATGACAGATTCAAATCACCCTCCCCCCCCCCAAATAAAAAAAAAAAATCAACAATGTTCAAGGATTACAAATATGATCTGATCTTACACACGTTGAATCTCACATCTATAGCAAAAGTTAGCGGATCGATTATGCAAGCTTAGAATGTTTATCAACTTCCAAAAAAGGAAAAGGGGAAAAGGTTCATTTTTTTAAAGCTCATATAGGCTCACATATGGTTTTACCTCAAAACCAATTGATAATGAGGGGAGTAACACATAAGGTATATATGTTGGTCAAATTGACTTCTCAACTCCAATGTGGGACAAGTGTCTTTCACTTGTTTTCAAGTTCAAAAGGGATGTTAACACCCTCACCTCAAGCCCTAAGAGGTTGGACAAGACCCATTTAAACAATCAAAGCTCAATACAGGTAATATATCAAAGCCCAATATGGGTATCAAAGTCCTGGGATATACTGCCGGGTCAGTCAAAGCCTGATACGGGTATCCTCGGATATACTGTCGGGTCAGTCAAAGCCCAATACGGGTAAAGTCAAACCAGAGAAACTGTCGGATCGGTCAAAAATCCACCGACAAAGTCCGCAGATAAAACCCGCTCTGATACCATCTTGAAGGCCCATATAAGCCCACATGTGGTTCTACCTTAAAACCAATCGGCAATGAGGAGAGTAGGACATCGGATATATTTGTTGATCAAGTTGGCTTCCCAACTTCAATGTGAAACAAGTGTCTTTCACTTGTTTTCAAGATCAAAGGGATGTTAACACATTTTTCATATTATTTGGGTTTTGGGACTAGAATCTACAGTTCGAGTACTACTTCAGTCCAAATTAAGGTTCGCCACTAACTAGTAACAATGCAGGATAATCTATCTTATCAATAATATAGTTGATGAAAGTTAACCGAGAACTTTTCACGCAAAGATTACATACAACATTTGATTCAATGAAACACCACTAAGCTAACAAAAATGGACACCCCATGATTATTCTATCATGCAAAACCACGCAATAATAAATATATGTAGGCCTTTTCAAAGAAAAATAAATAAATATAAGCCGAATAGTAACCCGTTTAAACTCGTGTGTCATGTCGCTAGTATCAATGTCACCAGAGGGCAGAGGCATAGCAGGATTCCACGATATGGTCGTTGGAGTGTCACGTCCAAGAAATGTGATAGACTAATTTTAAAAGTTGTCTAGAAATAAGAAAGGAAAAAATTTGAAGTTACTTGAATAATTTGAACTAAAAAAATATCTAGTAACGTTGCAATATATGTTTTATCTTCTTTTTTTTTGTTGAAAAAAAAAGGAAAAGAAAAAACTATGCATAAATGAAAGATCTATCATTTAATTATTTTTAGACTCATATTTATATTGGTTAGCATCTTTTGTGTATAGATTGGTAAAAAATATTGTATACAGCAGTTGTATCCTTGGTTTTAGTACAACAAGTATTATTACCTCCTATTTTATTGCTAAACTTCGGTAGAAATTATCACTTTTCGATATTTTCTCATAGACTGGTTTGGCACCAGCCCAGAGTTTTGTTTTCTTTATAAAAAAAATTGATATTCTTTTTTGAAGTTTCATTATAAGTTCTTCCTTTTTTTTTTTAAAAAAAAAGAAAGTTATGATTTTATAAGATAAAGTTATTTAATTAGCTAGAATTTGAGGTTAGGATATTATTTTAAAGACTAATATGCTCAAATGGTTCTTTACCTTTGCCAAAAAACTTAATTTGGTTCTTAACATTAACAATTCAATGGTTTGGTCCATTAAATTGGTGTTTTTCACTAATTTAATCTATTTTACTTTTTTTTGACACTTTACATTTGCGGGTAATTGGGTTGACTATTTTTTGGGTCAACTCAATGGGGGTATTCTCGATAATGCTTAATTTCAAATTTTCAAAAATATACAAAACAAATTTTGATTAAAATAATATTAAAAATATCACATTGATTTTTATATTTTATTTGGAAAAAATTTCAATAATTCATATTTATATTTTATTTGGAACAAATTATTTCATGTTACAATTTTGGACTGAAAATTCACAACTAGCCTTCAAAGAGGGGGAAAGAAGTAATTTGGGTATTGCTAAATACAGCTTGATTTTACTTCTCGCAGCTTGATTTGAGCTACAGGTATTTAAGTTTATTTTATAAGCCGCGCGAAATAAAATCAAAGCACATTTAGCAATATCTCTTTTTATTGGTCATATCTCTTGCAATTTTCATTGTCATACGATGAGAGCTTTGATGGTCATCCATTATACATACTAGTGTTTACCCCGCATGTTGTGCGGATTGTTCAAGATATATATGAGCTTAATAATTTAACGATTATATGACATTTCCGACGGAGTGATATATGTAAAAATATATATATACATATGAGTGATATAATTTGACATTATGTAATTCTTAATGTCAATGTGTTTCTGTTATTTTAAGTACATTTGGAATAGTTTTCAATATTCAAAATTATCCAATGTAACTTGTTATCCATCTTTTTCATTTTGTTGATTTATAATTTTATGTCTTTCAAAAGTATACTCTTAATTTTACATCATTATCTCTCTTAATATTTTTATCCATGTCACATCTATGAAATTCTCCCTCTAAGATTTCTCATTATTTTTTTACATAGATTTATCTTTAGTTTCCATGTCTCTATATATCTTTTGCAACCTTTCCCTAGAATAATGTCTGTATGTTTTTCCCATAATATAATGATACTTCATTTTTCTTTTTTTTTGGTTGCATAGTTTTCACCTTTCTTTTTTTTTTTTTTGTCTGAATTTGATTACCTCTCTTTAAAGTCATGTTCTCTAAAACTTTGTAGTAATTATTTCATTTTTACTACTATATCTCGGTTTCTCTTTTCATATTTTTTTTATTCTCTACATAGTCTTTTCTCCATATAATTATTTTTAATTTCTCGATATACTTTTCTTCTACTGTTTGTCTCTCACAAAGACCTTTATTCTTTTTCTCATTTTGAAAAAATTTCTCACTATTTATCTCTACGTTTTGTTTTATCACCATAATGTTACATTTTTATACATTTATATTATATATAAGAGAGAAATTAATTTAAATATTTATTTCTTATAATTTTTTTTAAAAAAATTTATCGTATTTGATAATAATAAATAAATAAAGGAATAGTGAAGGGGATCATGCTGATATTCCGTTTCGTCCAATTGAGCTTGAACATGAACATCACAAACAGTAGTAATTGATGATGATAATAAAATAAAATTTAAAAACCCTTGCTAAATACAAATTTGGTACGACTTCGGTTTTCCTATGTCCCAACTAATAGGCGCTTCGTCTTATTGACCTGAATAGTTTTCTACAAAGTCTAGGATTGATTTCTTGGCATAAACAAAAGGGAGATATGAAACGGAGGGAGAAGTGAGATGTCGACCCAGAGGGAATTGAATAATAGTCTAGTGGTTAGGATGCTGTACTTTCTATTATTAGACCTAGGTTCAACTCACACCAAGGGATATGTGAGGAATTTTACCCATATTACAGTGGGATCCACTGTGGTGGATTTTTTTTTTTTTTTGGTTAAAAAAAGAAGATGTCGACCCAATAACTCTTTCGAAGTTTAGCCAATGTTTCCTTTCCTTTCACCCGCCAG